TTCAGGTTTCTTTTTCCTGAATTTAATAATTCATTAATAATAATAATTAATTTCAGTAATGGAATTCTGATGTGAGTGCAATTAGAAGTGGAAAAGGCCAGTTAAAATACATTAAGTTTGATCCCCCTCTAAGCCCTGCTGATAGAATACAACTTATATTCCCCTCAGTGAAATAAACAGATAGTAGATACATACACTGTATTTGGTGAAGTGCAGTTCATAATTGGTGCTTTTTGTCTAGCATTTTTGGAATGCTAAAACACACTATTATCCAAATTCTAACCTGAAAAAAAAAMCTGTCTTTGTGCTTTTAGGGAGTGCTTTTCCTTGTAGTGCTGGAGTGCTTCAATCATATTTAATTTTATCTTCAGGTACAGCTATGACCTTAGAAGACATGTGGTCACGTCCTCCTGGTTGCAGAATTAATGTGTAGGTCAGATACTGAAGTTCACAGACTTCCCATTTCTTTAAGTCTGACTTTGAATCCTGGTATAATAAAAAATTGCAGTAGTTTAACTAGAAGGGACTTTTAAGACTATTTTACATAGATGCAAAGTGTACTTGTGGCTAGGTTTTGGCTAGGTGGCTTAATGTGTTTAATTTCATCTGTTAGATATGCCTGTTGATATGCAACAAGTTTTTAATTTAAAGCATCAAATCTGTTTTTCTGCTATGTTTTGAGTACTAAAGGAGCATTTTACATGATAATGTAATTTGATGAACTTTTTCTGTGAAAAGAGCTTTTTAAGTGTGGTTTTGAAAGTTCATACTAGAACTTTGAAATAGTGGTTTGGCAGCTGATACTAGAAGAAGAATACAACTTTGGACTTTATTTTTTTTTGGCAGATATACATCTCCCAGATATTTTTTTGAAGACTTGCCTGAGTAATTTTTTTCATGAAAAAGTGACTTTGACAACAAGTTACCTAGGGTCTTCAATAAGGCTGCTTCTGTGAGTGAAGCTTATATTTGTGAACTGGGACTATACAGATTCCATTGAGTTAACAAAAAAGATTTTACCTACCTAACTTTGAGGTACAATCTTATAAATGGTGATAAGTAAACAAAAATATTTTTTAGATTTATCAGCATCAGGAAAGATGATAGCATCATATTTATATGCCCAAAATATGCAATTCTTTTGTATTTGCTAGTTTTATCTCTTTGATGTTGAAAATCCAGGAAGAGTTTCCAACTCAGTAGTGTATTACGGTATATTTTCTATGCAAAATAGATGTAGGGAATACATTTCTAAAGTGAAATTTTTGGTCCTTCCTTACTTCTTGTGTTCCATGTTTTTTCTAATCTCATTAACATGAGATTGTTATCTCTATTAACATGAGATTAATATCTTCTAACTACAGGTGTTACGCTAACCTGAAAATGTTCATTGCTGTTTTTCAGATGAATTAAAATCTGCCRCATTTCTTGGTGGGGCGGAGAGGAAGAGGAAAGGAGGGGGGTAATAGTGTTGCTGCAGGTCATCTGCATGTTTCTTTTACAATGTTTGAAGGTGACTGAAATCAGAATGATAAAATGATATGATGAAAACTTACTCAAACAAATCAAGTAACACCTAAAAATGTAATGAAACTTCAAGCTACTAAGATAGAAGTAGTCAATACGAAAGCTGTGTTTTCTTTTTATATTAAGAGAAAGAAAAGGATTGCACTGCTTTAGACTCAGAAAAAGATTCCTGTGTCTCTCAAGTAGATGAAATTGTTATGCACAAAGAAGAATAGTTACAAGTGAATAAGTTCTGATATTGTTGAGCTTAATTAAAACAATGCTTTCAAAGAAATGTAAAATAATGAGCAACATGCATACAGATTATTGACAAATAGGAAGATGAAATGYCATAAATTTTATAGAAAGTGAATTTTGCTTTACAAGAAAAATATTTTTAATATCTATTCAAACACTGAGCCATGTTTGTCAATATTTTGATGARTTCAGAAAATAGAAATTGAGTTTACTCTCTGCCAGGCAAAAAATATATCAGAAAATAGATTTCCTGAATTATTGAAGAACATCTCAGTGTGTGTAGTATCTTTGCAAGTTCTGTGCATGTTCTGAATATTTCAGAACTCTCAATATAGCATCTCAGTTGAAAGTAAGGATAATGTGTTTACTTTTTTAACTTATGTCATGTGATAAATCGTGAAGTATTTTGACCTAATTGTGGAGTTAACTTTTTTACTTTTGATTCTGTTATGGGTTTCTTGCATGAAATAACTTTCCAGTTTAAAACTTACAAGCAATAATGATCATCCAGGTATTATGATAGTAACCATAGAGTCATTTGTTTGTTTGAAAAATTTATCTATGCATATATGACAGAGAATCACAGAATGGTTGAGGTTGGAAGGGACCTCTGGAGATCCAGATCTCTAGAGATCTAGAGATCCTCCAGCAGGGACACCCAGAGCACGGGGCACAGGGCGGCATAACTTCCGTGTTATTATAGTGGTGCTGCTGCAGGCTCAGCTATCTGAGATTTGTCTGAATGGAGGGGTTAAGTCTTCAAATCCCTTCCTGCAAAAGTCTTTTTTATTACTTTTGAATAGTGTCTGTAATATGGTATAGAATGCCTTAAGTGAGACACTTTTAACTGATACTGAGATATGTATATATAACCCATCTGTTATCTAGAAAAATCTAAAGTGTTTTCTGGATGTAGCCTTTACTGGTCTGACCTCCATGTATTTGAATTTTAGCAGTCTGCTAATAGTCTGGCAGCAATTAGGTTCCGCTAAACCTGACTTTGAATAGGATGTTATTATGTCCTGTTGAGTGTGACTCTGCAGGAAATTAAATATTCATGTTATAAAATTTCGTGGTGTTTAAAATTGTCAGCCCATCTAGCTTTTAAGTGAATGTGGTTTTTTTTTTTTTTTTTTTTTTGACAGTACATGTGAAAGAAGCTGTTTGAGTATGTAGGATATTTGGTAATGGTGTTACCCGAAGAATTGACAGTTGTCTCCAAGATACTTGAAGAGCAAATGTGATTATATGATTGAAAAACATTCAAGCACATATTTTGTGGTTTTGCATTATTATCCTTCTTGCTCATAGTTGATGTTGCAGTCCTCTAATTTTAAATTATGAATGCTCAATCTAGGAGAAAAAGGTTCACCTTTGCTTATATATGCAAGTTCCATGGTGACTTATGGAGTTCCTCTGTATGTAAAGTTTATCAGTGTGCAAAAAAAGGCATTTCAAATCAGGTTTTTTTTTTGTGGTTTGAATCTCCTTGCCATTAACTAAGCAAATTTTAGCTGAAAACATCAATGTGCAAAACATGCTTCTGTAGTGTAAACCCTTTCATTCCTTTTCAAGAAATAAGGGGTCTGTTTTCTGCAAATACCACAAAATGCTCGTCTAACTTTTGGGGAAGGGACTTTAGGGAGTGGTTCAAGTAAGTCTTAGCTTTAGTGAGCAAGTAAGTAAACTCCTATTGCACTGTRGAGAGAACACTATTGAATTTAGGAAGTCGTGTATATAAGAATTTGAAATAATGTATATAGGTAAACTATGATGTAGTAATTTCATGAAGTGTAGCTCTGAGCAAACTCTCTTGAATTGAGAGTCACTATTGTAGTTCCAAAATCAGAAGTGCTAGAGATCATTCTAGTGGTAAATCCAAGGAATGAGTTGCCTTTGAATTCGTACTTAAATTGAGATAAAACTGGTTTGGGCAAAAATACTTAATTCTCTGTGTACCCAGCAAATGTTCTGTCCTCATATTACAAATTGGGTTTGTGTTTTGGGTTGGTATTACCATAGTCTTGTCGATAAGTTGATACTAGTTTGTCTGTGTTATTTATATGTAACAAATATCTTGATAGGGACGAGGAGCCTTGCTCTCTTTTGTAATGACTACTTTTTCACTTGTTTAAAATTGAATCCTAGATCACTTTTTTTTTGATTTTTCCTTCAAGTGCTTGGTGTATTGGTTTGCTTTCTGCCAAATGAAATATATGACTAGTTTATATCTTCACTTTCTCTTGCATTCTTCAGCATTTTTTCCTGCTTTTCAGGCAGTCTGTGCTCAGTGCTTGGGAATATCTATCTAATTCCACCAAATAAAACCTCTAGCTAATGGCACTTCTGCATCTTCATTAACTGCTTCGTTTCTGGTCTTTCAGTTTCATTTCATTGTTTGTCCTCAATCTATATGAATAGAAGATCTAATTTCTGATTAAGATCTATTTTTCTACTATGTAATGACATTATGATGTTTTTCTGAGTTTCCTTTGCATCCTTTTCCTTTTCAAAATTCCATGTAAATAGACCTGTCAGTTTTATGACATTGCTTTGTTAACTTGGCTTTTGTTGTGTCTTTGTCTTTGTACTGTTACAACTAGGATGCACTCAAATATTAAACATGCCCTGTTATCTGGGTGAAACTTACTGATCAAGTTATTTACATCTTATGTTTTTTACAAGCAGTTTGCTCATTTATGAGAATAATGAAAATGGAACAGGAAAGCAAACATGGAATTGGGGAAGAGGAGGATGTACTCCATGGGCAGAGTACAGAGAATATAGATCAGAGTAAAGAGAATATAGATCATTAAACTTAATGTAGCAGGAAAAGAGCTTTGCCTTAGTTGATAGGCACTTTTACATGCTGTTTGACTTCTGAATCTTAAATTATTTTGAGTCTTTCAACAAAATAATCAATTGTTCTACTTAACACTTTAAGAAAACTAATGCTGTTAACCCAAAATAAGTACTTTACTTTCATTCGGTATTTACTGTGACGATGACAGAGCCCTGGCACAGGCTGCCCAGGGAGGCTGTGGAGTCTCCTTCTCTGGAGATCTTCCAAACCCGCCTGGATGCTGCCCTGTGCCCCATGCTCTGGGTGTCCCTGCTGGAGCAGGGGGTTGGACTAGATGATCTCTAGAGGTCCCTTCCAACCTCAGCCATTCTGTGAGTAGAAGTATTAGAATGCAAGAGCTGGTACTACATACCTACAACTTTTTGCCTTCCAGGGCTTTCCATCTAAAATATTATCATTCTGGTGAAGAAAAAATATTGCCATGAACAGTGTAACTCTTTCATAGGTAAGTGTAATGAATAAAACCTAATGCAACAAAAGCATGAATGACTTTTATATTTCCAARACAAATATTTCAGTGTTGTACAGCAGCTTCTGTGAGATAAAAATCTAAATGCTCTATTTTTGTCAAATGATGGGCAGATTATTTTATTAGAAATTGTTGTAAGTGAATGCTTGCATTCTGGAGAAAATTACAGGAATATTTGTCTTCTGACATGTATTAAGTATGTTAAAAATGTACATGTTTTCTCATGTACCTTGGCAGGACTCTGATAAAAGATACACTACAGGTACACCTATTTAAATAAGCAGAGTGTCTGTAACAACTGTTGATTTGAAGTGTTTAGGGAAACCACTCCTCAAAGCATTACTTAATCATCATGGAATAGTATTTTAAMTTTTTAAGGAGCCTGTTAAGTAATGTTTGTTTATGATTTACTTTGTTTCCTTTTTATAGTGACTTTTCTTGCTCTTTTATTTGCTGTCAAAACATTAGTACTGTTTACAAAAATACTGTTGGATAAATGTTCATACTTATCTGTATTCTTTGAACACAGTGTAACTTTTTGTATTTTGATTTTTAAGGTGGTATCTGGGTAACATATGTTTGCAGATCTCTGTGGTTATGAAAGTTTCAGAAGTATTGGTTTCTTAAACTAAAAATTTCATGCTTGGCTATATGTCTTGGCATTGCTTAAAAGTTACTCACTGTACTCACCAAACATTCAGTGTTTGGATTTTCACAAATTTGAAAAATATGACTGTTGCTTTTCCAAGTCAAATACAGGAAATAGAATTAATTTCTAATAAATGAGGACATGCTAAGTACAATTCCTTTACTTCATTTGGAAAAAGAGGGGAGCATGCAACATGATTAAATTACTGCAGTAATTTATTTGCTTCAGTCTTGGTCTTTTTTTCCTTGATCTCTTTGTAGAAGAGGTAGAACAGGTATCACATCAGTTGTGATAGATTCTTTTTTTTTCTTTTTTTTTTTTTTTTTTCAAAAAAGACCTTACTGCTGTTCCTGAAATCTTGTTTGAGGAACAACCTTGCTTGGTGTAGGGTGTAATTTGTGAAAATAATGTTCTCATTGAAGAATCTGTATAAGTTATTTTATTTTTATTTTTTTAGAGGTAGGGTGGCATGAGTTTGGGGTAGATTGTCTTTTCTATAATTATTACTTATTCTTCAAGTATTATTTGTAGTTGTACAAGAAATCATAAAAATAATAATAAAAGTAATAATCGTCTTTTAGACTGGAGAATATTGTTTTATGGTACAATTAGAAGTGAAATCTTAAAACACTAGATGTCTTTTTTGTTTTAAAGTTAGCTGATAATTCTTGTAGGATAAGTCCTGTCAAGTTTTCTTAAGCCCTTGGACAATGTACGTAGCTGTAAGACATATGTCTTGATGTGTTCTATCCAGTTAATATTAGATAATGTTGTGTGAATATACTTATAATTTTTTTTGAAACTATCAACTACTAAATTCAAATGCAGAGTAAAAAGCAGCATTAAGTATTGGCAGTAGTGTCTTTTACATTGTCTTCATTTCTTCAGAATCTATTYTGAATTGGCTGTGTTTCAATTTATAAAGTAACTTGTGTGCACATGTTTGCAAGAAGAGAACATCTGATTGGACAATTGTTTAGGTGTGGAGTGGGTTAAAAACAGGCTGAGGCAGTATTGATTTTCCTTATTGCTTTTCTATATAAAGATTTTATTACTTTAAGAGTTGAGAAGGATAGTATCTCTTTCAGGTAACATCTAAAATACTAGACTCTAGATTTGTAGGAAACTTCATTCAAGTATGCTGATAGAGTATTTTAGTAAATAAAGAGTATAACCTTATTATAAGCCTCCATCTCTGATAACTTAATACTACTTACAGGTTATAAATACACCACATGGTTATCTCACATGCTTAAGTGCAAATCTTACGCTAATACATTTATAAATAGAACTCTTGAATAGAAAGTTAGCGTAGTATACCATTTGAAGGCATATTTAACTGAATCAGAGTAGGGCATAAGGTAAAATCAACTTCAAAAGCTGCCAGACATAAAAATACAGCATTTAAACAGGTTAGAAGCATTGTAAAATGAACACTTAATTTCATTCATGTGTTTTCAGAATAGTATATTGTCATTCTCAATTTAAATGTTTTGGTTTAGTGTGATTTGTTTTCAGGGTGTTTTTACATCGTGCTGTGGGGAATTAAGGCTTAAGCAGGGAACTAAAATCTAGGAAAAAGAGAATGAAAGTAGGCAAGCTTATGCATGGCAACCCTTACTCCTCTTTACTGTTGCAGGTGAGTGACTGCTTCTTGGGAACTTTGTGAAAATCCTGTGCTGTCTTTTCTGATTCCTAGCAACTGCTTTGTCGCTGAAGGTATAGTCTGTGCTCTCTTCTTTATAGTCTCTCAGTCTGTGCCATTTACAGAGGTCTCTGGATATTCATTTTAATATGTGTGGTAGTTCAGTTGCCTTGCAGGGGGTCCTATCTGAAMAGAAAAATAAAGCAAATGCCATCTACAACAGATGGCTGTAGCAGGTTGCGGTGTTCTGTGCCAAGAATATGGCACATTTTTCTTCTGTGGAAGAAAAATTAGGTTTGGGACACTGAGTCTCATAGCAAGCCACTGTCTTTTATAGATGCAGAACCTTGTTTGTCTTCCCATTGTATTAGTTATCTGCAGTTTTGACATGAAGGCTTGAGATGGAAAGAGAACAGGAGTGGCAGTCTTCCCTGTGTTCCCTTTGAGCCCTGTTTCTTCCTCGACTTTTTCCCTTTCTCATAATTCTGGTGACGTCTTTCTCTCTTGCCTTCAAGCATTTGTCCTCCCCTTCAGTTGAACTGAATTCTCTAGTATGGTGCTTAGTTTTCTGCAGAGTCTATGAACAAGACTGTCAGATTKCTTGCTGCCCTTTGATGTTCAACCTCTAACAGCAGGAAGTGGCATTTGTAGGGAGGATATGTCTGCAACACAGCAGCTGGAGTTGCAGGGGACTCTTAAACATGAAGTTTTTTTTCTTAATATGCATATTGCGTTTTTCCTTTTGGAGCTTRTTACTGCGTGTGGTTTTGTAGTGAAGGCACGAGACAGTGCCTCCACTTCAGARTTTGGAGTTCGGAGGGAACAAGTTAGTCTGCTACAAAGAACAGTTTAGTAGATCAGCTTTTTGTATAGGAGTGGAACGCTCCTGTTTTCAAAACAGTTTTGATTGAAATATGCCATTGTTTTTCTCTCTCCRTCTTCTGAGCTTCAGAAACACATTTTTTGAGACAGCAGACAAGGAGAAGAGTGTCTTATGCAGATGACCCTTTGTAAACCATGGTCTTGCTGATTGCTCCCTGGAGGCCTTCATGACCGAACACTAGAAGCTAAGACTAGTTCTTGGCATTGCTGTTAGTGTTTGGTTATGTGTGGAATGGATTCAGATATAGTTTGGGCTTCCCAGATTAAAGTTTTTCCTTGGATTATAGGTRGATTAACATTATTACTTTGGCAAATGACTTTCTCACTGGCGAAACTTCAGCATTGTGGAAACTGCTTAAGTCTCATCTGGAYAAGCAAGCATACAGAGCAGCTAGTGTGCTCTGTGAAAACACTCACTTGTCCTTGAGCTCACAGCTTGGTTTCTTGGTTGGTGCTGCTTTAGTGTTACATGAGCTGATCAGCATGAGATAGGGAGCTTTTTCAGTGATGATAGACCTTCCTTGGCTCACAGATGCTTTCTTAATCACCATTGTCTTAGTGCTTCATTTGAGTCTCTGGTGCCCTTTGTCCTCATATGGCTGCTTGTTATTCCATGCTTCTAACACATCATCACTTACTTTTCATCGCCTTGGCTGTGCCGGCTTTAGCAAAGCTTTTTCTATATTAGCAAGACTACATACTGTGCCCAGGTGATACYTAAAAAGGCAAAGGCAAAACGGGAGATCTGAAGAGAAAAAACTTTACAATTATTTTGGCTTTCTGAAGTGAAATTCTGATATATTAGAGATTAATTTTAAATAACATATAATTACATATTGTATATGTTAACAAGTCTTTTGCAGMAGTTAGCTAGGAGCCCTGCTTACTCTGAAATCAGATTTGAATCCCTTCAGATTTGTCTACGTACTCAGTTTCTTCTGGTGTTCTGTTGTGAGACCTGTCCACAGGAGCTGTTAGTGCCTCCCTGAGTTTTCATTGTGCCCAAAGCTCTCCCTGCTCTTTGCAATATGAACATGTTGGTCCTAGTGCCAGGAAACCGAGCCTTTTCTCTCGTACTGAGATTAGCAAGGCATCAGCTGTGGTGTCTTTTACCTTTTGGTGCTGGCAGTACTATACATAACGTTTATTTGCTCTGAATGTTATATGTTAGCTCTTTGAAGACTAGAATTGTTTACCTTGATATTTCTCACTRTAGAAAGTGAGACCTAGAGCATAACTATTTTTTCTTTAGTACTTAATACGTTTAGTATGCATGTGTATTGCTTCAAATGTGCTGATCTTCCTCAGTACTAGATGGTGCCTTTGCAATCTTGCACTCAGTGCATTCCATTTCTGGTTCTATTTCTTCCTTAACTCATTTAGCACAGTGGGTAAGGGAGGTTACCTGTCACTTCCCATTGAGCCTATTTTTTCTGAGATCTGTACTTTCAAAAGTACTGACTTTAGGATAGCCTGTGGTGCTTGAACTTGTAAGAGAATGCTGTRACCAAATGTGCTCATGTTTTTCCGTCTTAGATGCTTTTGTCTGTATTATACCACTATTCAATAGTTTTTGCTTGCATTAGAAAGTTCTACTTGGCCTGCTTTTGCTTTTTCCCTTTGTGCCAAAGCATGTCTTTCACTTTCTTGTCTTTCACATTGGAATGATTGTGTTTACCTTTAAAATAAGCTTCTGTGTGCTTCATAATTAAGCTGATAGATTAGTGGTTTTCAACTATCGTARTCTTAAGATCATGTCATGAATAATCCATGATTCAGCATGTACAACTTGTAGGGTCGTCTTTCATGTCCTTTTGCTTTCTTTACTGTCTCTTTGACTTTTTAAAATATTGTAATAAGATACAAAATACAATTTTTAATGTTGAGAGTTAGGTTTAAGAAAAGGTTCCTGATGACTGACTTTAGGCTACATAAATAACATTTAGAARCAAAGTTATTTTTTTCTAGAAAATATTTTGTTTGACTACTGTATATTCCCATGTTTAAAGTAGGCTAGACTTAAGTGAATATAACAGAATGTATTGAATATTTAAGCTTTATTTTGAATGTTTATTTTATCAGTTAACTAACACTRTGTTCTTACTGAAGTCCCTGTTGGAATGAGTCTCAAGGCAATGAAAYTGAGGAGAAACAAATATATGAATTGGGGGATGGGGAGGAGGCAGAATTGTTATGGTATGTAAATAGATTGTRTTCCTAAATTTGGGAGTTTTAGGAAGAAGTGCTATGTCCTTGTCATTAAATGAATAAATCAGAAAATAGCAATTTTCAGAAATAGCAGTTATGCAAAAGATAAACATTTTATGTTTGAATATCATTCACTGTTGTTTAAGTATTTCTTTTAGTAGGTAAACATATTACTTTGGAAAAAAAAACATTAAATGCTTTGAAAAAGAAAGTAGATGAAAAATGCTTTTTCTCGCGAAGTTGGCATAAGCTGTAGTTTTTTAATAGCAATGCCAAGTGCATTCACGGGGTCGGAAAGGTTTTTTTTCCAAAAGAAAAGCTTCCATAAAACTTATATTTAGCTTTAATCTTTTTCTAAGCTCACTTCAAAGCTACAGCAGTTTCTGTTGCATTTATGTGCTGTAGTGAGAGAATTTTATCTTGAAGTAGGGTTATTCATGGAGAAGTTAGTTATTTTTTAATTGCATAACTTCAGGTGAAGAAAGGTGATTCTTTACAAGAATCATACTTCATTGTGTAATTTTGTCTTTTATTTACAGAGTTCCTGTAAACACTAGAAAATCCTGCTGGTAGGATATGTTCTGGAGGTTTACTACAGAAACAATCAAGGAAGAAATATTTTGCAAATGGGATGAATACGCTGTTGTTGACTAATAACTGACAGAAACCAGCTGGACACTTCATTAGTGATGTCTTTGCTTTCACGTTGTTGAATTTGAGTTTGCTATTACTGAATTAAAAAGAAGAAATCAAAGCGGAGTACCCTAAACTTGAAATGGAGAATAAAAAAAAAGACAAGGACAAACCAGATGAAAGAATGGCACGACCTAGTGGGAGATCAGGCCACAATCCACGGGGATCCAGTTCTTCACATTCTGGAGTGTTAATGGTCGGACCTAATTTTAGAGTTGGCAAAAAAATTGGATGTGGTAATTTTGGAGAACTACGATTAGGTAAGATCTCTCTTTTGGYTTACTTGATTCAAAGCATGCATGCAGACTAGAAATGGAAATGCCTGTGGAAAGAGTGTTACAGCTCTATCCTGTATTCATGTATGTGCATACAGTAGGAGACTTTTTAGGACTAATAGTACTTTCTATCGTTACCCTGAATTTGGCCAATTTGCAAGATACTGGAAATGTCTTTGAGTGTATGTGCTATGTATTTTTTTAACTGAATTTTGCTGCATCTCCTAATATCCTAAAACTACTCTGATCCTTTTGGACTAAACAACCTTCTCCTGCCTCCCTAAGCATGTTGTAAAACAGCCTTCCCCCATACTTCTAGCCTTCCTGTAGTATTCTTGGGAATAACTGGGGAACAACAGTGTGCATCGCATCTTCAGCAGGCTGCAGAACTGCAGCAGGCAGCCTTGGAGCTTCGCTGGCTGTCATCATCAGTGTGGCAGGACGGAGCAAGGAATGGCTGGCAGTTGGTTAGACAGAAGGGATTTCACTGTAGAAAGCTTTGGAGAAGGGGCAAGGAAAGACCTGGGCAATTTTGAAGAATTTCTGGATGAATGCTGCCTTTTTTGTTCTGTATTTCTGTATTGTTTCTGTGTGGGGTTTTTTTTTTTTGTCAGTATTTTTCCCTCCCCCTTTTGGTAGAAAAACTTCTCATTGTCCTACAGGAAGATAGTATAACATAGCTTTAATGTWGTTCTCCCTGGAGCTGTTATATCTGGTATGCGTCAGAAGTGTAAACAAACTCAGCATATTGCTACTGTGAAAAGAAAGGTGGCTTCTCTATACCTACAGGCACTGTGTGTTAAGTAGTTTCTGAAGAGGTGCTCTAATTATTTGTAACAATAAAACAAAGCTAATCCATTTTGACTCTTGAAGTGTTAGATATGTGCATTTGCACATTTTTTTTGTGCAGTTAAAGATCTAGCAATTCTGCCTTCAGCTCTTCAGTTTTCTTAAATTGACCTTCAATGCTGTTTTTCTTTGAAAGCTCTATGTGAACTAAACCATACCAGTCTGATTAATACATCTCATTTAATACTATAGATAACTGTTAATATTTCTAGGGATTTTATCTTGGATTGCTGATGACATGCAACACTGTTAATTTGCTGTTAATCTAAAATAGTTAATCTCATTTACTGGCAACAGTTGAATCCTAGAGTATGTATTAGGTGAGACACTCATATTAAAGTGGAAAGGCTTTGAATGTAATACTGAAATAAAACTGGGCAAACAAGTAAAAGAAAAGAAGGGAGATAGCATGCTGCCATTCCAACAGCTAAGGGCAACAGCTTTTTTCTTTTTTTCTTTCAACCTTTACTCTTTTTTGCATATGTAATGAATATTCTGTCATATGAAGATGTATGCAAGCACTTAACTTGATGATAACTTGTTGAAATATATCACAAAACTGCGATTGTATTTTGAGCGTGTGTATAATGGTCCAGTCTTAAGGACTTAAAAGAAGATTTAAATTAAAGTGCAGAGATACCTTTTGTCAGGAAATAAGAAGTTTAGTTACACTCCAGTTGCTGTTGTAGTTCTTCCAATGAAAGGAAAWAAATTACCAGAGTTCCATGTTGGGGGAAAAAAATAGCTGTTGCTAATTCAAAGTTTTGATGAGATCTGACATTCCAATACCACAATATAATTTAAATAAATTTTAAGTGTCTTGCTGTGATAAATCCTGAGTGTAGCAAATCAATACACATTCCACTTGCTTCTTATTTTTTTCTAGCTATTTTAGGCTATTGAAATTTCTGCAAAATTGATGGAATAGTCCACACTGTTTATCAGCAAAGATAAAATCGGGTCTTGCACTATTCAAGAGTCAAATWTTCTGAAGAGTGTGCTTCACATGGTTAAAAATGTGTTTCAAATCTGTACCAGAACATTTAGGGTCAAAAGAACATTTGGCATCAAAAATATGAACAAGAATTTCTTAAGATTTAAGTGATATTTTACTTTAACAGGAAAAGTCATCCCACAGTGCCAGTATCTTTTTTTTATCACAATGGTGCATGTACGTTTTTAATCTCTAATCTAAAATTGAAAAAAACTTCAAATGTATGTACAAATAATGTTTAATGTCTAACTGTAAACCTCAGCTCTAGTTTGAAATAAGAGTATTTGTTTTACTCAAGTATACATAGTAGCAATGCTTGTGATACAGATTAACTTAACTGAACTTCTAGGTTCTAGTGATGTGGTCTGGCATTCTAGTTAAAGCATTTTCAGGAGATGTTGATATTAATCTATTTTTTTTCTCTCTAGAGGCCTCTTGTCATATGATTAATATTTAAAAAAAAAAAGAGAGAACAAAGCCTCAGGCAATTAATTTACTAAATTATTACCGCATCATGAGTCTTAAAAATTTACAGTAGCTACTCCCACWTTTGGTTGTGAACTGTATTAAAACAGTGGAATTATATGTTAAAAGTTAACATAAAAATTGAACATGTTTTTAGATTTTTTTCAGTTATCCAGACTTTTTTCCCATAAATCACAAACCAAATCTTCAATTTCTGTTACTCTGACCAAACTGCTATTCATGCCTTACTTGCAAAAGTCATGTGTTACTTTAGTGCAATTAAAGCACAAGTAAATTGTTAACTGAACTAGTCATGGGCACAGACTGTGCTTTCCAATAAGCTCTTTGACAAGCAGTGGCTGAGGAAATTGGTTATAAGTCTGTTTTATATGGAAGTTCTTATGCCAAGAAGGGGACAATACATTCCTCAAAGTTCTTTGCTTTTGTAAGATGTCACTGCCAAAGTCTCACATTCTTGCTTTTTTTTTTTTTTCTTTTTTTAAGGGAAAAATTTATACACAAATGAGTATGTGGCCATTAAGCTGGTAAGTTAATATTCTTTTTGTTAAGAATCATGATAAAAAAAATCATCAGACTCTCTGTCATATATAATGTTTTGACTTCATTGAAATTTTTAGTCTTATGTGTTTTCCACTGATTAGATAAAAGTACTTAGTGGTAGAAATAATTMTATGGCTTGTCTATATTGAATAAAGCCAGTATTAAATATTGTCACTGGTATCAGAAGTAAATTTATATTTGTAAAGTCAATAATAGTTGATTACTTCTTGAAGGGTACGCTCAGCAATCTTACCTATTAGCTTCCTGTCTGTTAGCAAGCAGACAAGTGTAAAACTGAGCATCTAACGTTGAATGACTACAGAAGAATCCTCCCGAAATCCTGTGAAATGTCTGCTTTCCAATATCTCTACTCCTCCTGGAATTTAGTGTTTCATCCGTCATCATTGCTACTCACTCTTCTCAACGGGAAAAAAAAAAAGTGCTTTCTACTTGCTTGAGATTAGTGAAATATTTTCTTAAAAATGTGCAGAACTCATCACGGCTAATGTGAAAGTTCTGCTCTTTCCTTCTTTAAAACTATTGTTTGCTACTTCAAACTATTATTTGCTATATTTTACCTCAAAATGTGTTTTATGAAAATGGTTCTATTTTTAACCAAGGTATATCAAGAGGAACTTCCGTTCTGTAGCTTTTTGTTTTTTTTCAAGGCTTTTTAGGACTGATGGGAAGTAGGTGGTGCTTAAACAGTATGATCCTTTTGCTTAAGAAAGTTCTTTGCAAAAAGATTAAACTAGCCAGCTAGGACAAATACTCTGGACCTTGGAAAGCATATGTTTTCATTAATTTCTGCTTGCTTTTGTGCAAACTTAGTATATCTTGTTTTGCTTCTTGTTCTTTGCTTCTGATACCCTGCCAAAACGATTATGAACCTGGACTGTGATAAGGACTTTGCCRCTAGGAGAAGCAGCAACATTTGAACTTAGGTGAACTGGTAGGGAGGAGTAGCGTTCTCATGACTGACGCTTTGGCTTCTATGGCCTTGGATGTACTGCTGTGGAATATAATACAGGCCAAAGAACTCTTAGCTTCTGGAGAAGAAGATTTGAGAAAGGAGATAAGAATCTTYCCTAAACACTACCTGGAAATTTCCATTTAGCAGTATACCCTCTACTTGCATGGATAAATAGTTTATGTTAAAAATCTTACCTGTTCAAAGCTGTAATTTAGTAGCGGTCTTCAAGTGAGTTAGCAGTTAATGTGCAAATTGCCATTTATGCACCTTAAGATTTTATATATTATGAAGCCAAGCATGACTTCAAAAAGTTGCTCTAGGAAGGTTTTATAATAAAGTACTATTTACAAAAAATGAAATACTTGGGAGAGTGGGTTCATGTTGCCTTTTTTTCTTCCTGTGTGAATAAGGTCTTCAGTAATGAAGTAGCCTTTTTCTGAGATTGAGTCATTTGCGTGCCAGACACAGAACTAAAATTTCATTAACTTATAATTTAGGCATAGAAAGATTTAAATTGCAAAATTACTTTGGTGCCTTTTTTTTTTTTGGTCACAGTCCTTTTGCTAAAGACGCATCTAGCACATGTACCAGAGGTGTTGGCAGTCTTTTTCATTTGTACAGCTGTATTCTAATGCCTACTTTTGAAGRCTGCAGGATGCCTGTCAAACACATGCTTTGGAGAGATTAACTCACAGAGGGAAGAGATTTTATGGGTGGGACTGCATTTGGATTTGCAAGTTGGACCCTGAAAAGATTGCCTTGAGCAATATAGGATGTAAAAGCTCCTGTACACTTTAGTTTTACCTGACTGGGGTTTAGGTTTCCGGCAGACTAATTACCAGTCATTGTAGAAGGACTACTGAGTTTCTTTTCAGGGGGTTCAGAAGTCACAGGGTTTAGCATAACTGAGAGAGAAACAATAGTATTTATTTTTAGTGTTCAGAGCAACGGCTGACAGGCTCAGTTTTAAATGTTGGTTTTGTTTTTGAATTAGGAGCCAATGAAGTCTAGAGCACCACAGCTACATTTGGAATACAGATTCTACAAGCAACTAGGATCTGGAGGTAAAATATATATATATATATATATATATGCATAATCTTTTATGCATATGTAATATTTTGTAATGTAAACCAATATCATTTTTTGCATTACTTTGCAGAGGTAGGATATAAATTCTTAAGTGTCCTTAGATATTTTTAACAACAGAAAAAAGACCTTCATTGAGTGGATTAATCTGGTTTTCTTTTCTACTGATAAAATATTTTTATTCTGCTTTAAGGTGTGCCCATTAAAACTTTAAACTATTTAATAAATAATAAGTTTTACAAAGTTGTTTATGTCTTATTTTGCCATTGTTTCCCTTTTAATAAAAATAAATTACCAAATAGCTAATTATCCTTGGAAAATGATCCAAGTGACCTTTTGCTGTTATAGGTGAGCAATACCTGGAAAACAATGGAAAAACTTTTTCCATTTTTTGTACCTTTCACATGTGTGTAGTCAGTTAGCAAGAGATGAAGCCTCTTAATCTAAGAGTGAGTTTAAATCACCCCAAAAGTTGTTAAATCACTAGGAAAAATGTTATTGTATCTATTCTTTGACAATGTTCCTTTAGACTTCCAGATGACTTTTTTGTTAGTGTAGTCAGTAAGTGTTAATTTTTGCAGATTGTAGTCAAAATTGGGTGCCTAAATTTGCTTGCATATTTGAAACTGTTATCGAGGGATGATATCTCTTTTTTTTGTAGTGGAAAATCACCATCATACAAATCTACAATGGAGATTAACATTCTAAAGTTAATGATACATTCAGAGATTTGTCACTTTAYTAATGAGACAAAGTAATCAAGAAGTTAGTAACTAGTAACTACTTGTAAAAGCCAAGCCTCTGAATGACAAATGAGCAGTACAGCAGAGGTAACAATAAGAGCTGTTTAGATTACAYTGCAGAAGCTACATAGTGCTTCCTAGAGACCTTCAGGGAGAAAATGATGACATGTGAGTGTCCTGATTTTCAGAAGGAATCAAGGAATCAATCATTTTTTTCCTGGAAAAGTATACTGAAAACCTGTGATTAAGCAACATATCGTTACTTCTAATATTTTCTAATAGAGTAGCTTAGTGCTTTCTCTGATTATGGGTAGAACTATTGTGAGCCCCTCTGGATGGAAAGAATAGCATTTTGAAATTACAGRTTTTCTTAGTGTTCTTTTATAATAAGCTTTAGTCTATCAAGGTTTCTTGATATTGTTTTCCCTCGTTTCTGATGACCTTGTGACTTAGTGTGTAGTATCTATCTTAGTGTGTGTGACTTTTTTTTACTTTTCTGTTTCTTCTTTAATAAAAACTTTTATCTGAATGTAAAACAAATACTTCAAAATTCAAGAATCTGTGACTTTATATTCAACTGTTGAGTTTTACTCAAGATGAGTTATCTTTAATTYTAATATAACGTTAGTTGTAAGTAATTGTGTATGAAGAAGAAAAAAACATGATACATAAACAAAAGTGTAATATTGCAAATGCAAAATAAGAAAATCCCTGGGTATACCTGAAATTATACTAAGATATTTAGAGTGAAGAGAAAGCAATTCATATTAATATTAGTCCTTATGTAATCTTAATAGTATCTGTATCATTTAAATATACCATAATTGATTAAAATCTGTTTTAAATACTCATTGGAAAAAAATATGCAAGCTGGAAACTTGAAGAAAACCTCCTTCACACAAAAAGCCCCCAGCACTTGCAGGTTCAACAATTTACGCTTTTAACACGTTTAAGCTGGGAAATGAGCAAAGCCTTCCCAATTCATTTTCTGCAAACAAACATGTCCCACAGTGATGGAGTATATGTACTGTGAATTGTTATCTTGGCAAACCTAGATATTATGGTATTATGGTAGGTGAGGAGGAGGCGAGAGTATTTGAGTCATCCTCCTGCTGGGCTATATTAAAGAACGATTTCCTTAATGAATAGTTACGTTATTGCAGTCCACTCTTCTTTCCACTGTTATTTAGTCTTCAACAGTGTTACATTGATGGTGCTAGCAAGAGAAGACTTGTTATTCTGTTTACCTTGCTGTGTAAAATTAAAGTGTAATTTTTTTCAGTTTAGCTGGATCTTTTGGGCTAATGTATTCTCAGCAGGGACAGCATTGGGGGAAAGGGTAAAATCAAAAGGAATATGGCAGTGCATGTACGGGCAAGCTAACTTTTTTGTAGATATACTCCTAAGAATAGTAAGTGATAGAAAGGTGAAATCTACCTTGCGTGATGTGTAAGATCCCCCGATCTCTTCTACTCGAGGAACTTGAGTTCAGGAGCCAGATTTTCTAGGTTCAGTACAAACTACTTGCTGCCACAGATCTAGAAACCTTATTTTGGGTATTAGTTTACTGCTACTTTGTATGCCCCAGTTGCATTCCCTTTCTTGAGGAAATGGGACAGTAGCAGTTTTATGGTTTCTCATTTTGAGAAACTTGAGATCAAGTGTTGTGCTGACTTAACTTCAAGTAAATTCAGTGAACTTTCCTCCTGCAGAGACTGGTGAAAGAGAGGGGGAACTACTGTGTCAATCTAAGTATTGGAGCTGAGTTTTTTTTTTTTTTTTAATTTAAACTTTAAAGATGAATATAAAAGCAAAATATTTGGAAACATAATGCATATTTCTTTGCCAGGTATGAACTTACTGTGTGCTTTGGTTTCCTCTTGCAGTAAGGAATCTACCTACTTTTTGAGGTATTAGCATTAGCAATGCAAAAATTATTCAGCTGTTATGATCTGATTTTTCTGTTATTTCTTAATAGTGTATCTGAAGGCGGTTGATTTTAGTGGCTTGGAAACGTCTACGAGTAAATGAACTGTATTGTACTTACCAATCTGACAGTAGGACAAAGAACGGTTACTTCTGATGATGCTGGTCCTGTCCTAAAGGACACATAGAGCTCGTGTCTGTAAAATTGCTGACATGCTAGAACAGATAGTAACAGATTGTTACTATGGTTGTATGGTTTATAGCACCAAGAGGTATTTGTGTCAGATTTTCAGTGGAGGTCTTTTGTGGAAGAGACGAAGATGTGTTCAACTGTAAATTATCCTAGCTCTGTGATATTAACATTTCAGAGAAGGCAAGTGCTCAATATTGATAATACTTTATTTTTCTTATGTCTTTTCAGATGAAGTTTAATTAGCACTTCCATTCTTCAAGGGGTTCTAAAATCCGTTTCTAAAAGGGCAAACAGAAGGTAGTACTTTGTCAGTGCAGTTATGTACTGCAGAAGAGAGCAGTGTCTKAAATGGCTATTAATAGTGTGAAAGAAGCACAAAGTGCTAGATGCTTTTCCAGAGTTTTGTCTGTCCTGGGAAGGCTTTACCTCATGTGAAAATATGCTTTTGACTTTTCTGTGTATTTTGTTTTTTCACTTCATAATTTGCCTTCATATGGTGCTAATTATCAGTATAATCTTAAAGTGAACCAGAGTACTTGGAATATTTAAGCAATGTTATTGTCAGAGAGTTTGCTCTTAAATTAAATTAAATGCCTGAGTATACATTCATATTTATATCATGTCTGTATTAATAAATGCAGATTGGATGATTTTAGTGATACTCGAGTTTTAAATTTAATGTTAGCACCACTTAAAATGTATGAATTTCTTGAAGACTGGGAGGGGATCTTATCAGTGTTTAAATAAATATCTTAAGGGAGGGTGTCAAGAGGTTGGGACCAGACTCTTTTTAGTGCTGGCAAGCAACTGGACAAGAGRCAGTGGGTGCCAACTGAAGTGTGGAGGTTCCATCTCCATGTGAGGACAAACTTCTTCCCTGTGAGGGTAACAGAGCCCTGGCACAGGCTGCCCAGGGAGGCTGTGGAGTCTCCTTCTCTGGAGATCTTCCAAACCCRCCTGGATGCTGCCCTGTGCTCTGGGTGTCCCTGCTGGAGCAGGGGGTTTGAGCTAGATGGTCTCTAGGGATCCCTTCCAACCCCAGCCATTCTGGGATTTTGTTCATCTGCACTGTACTCCGTGCTCAGAGACTGCTGTGGTTCTTTTCCCAATCACTCGGAGAAAAAAATGGCTCAATTTTAAGTTCCACTGTTGATTAACAGCAAGGCTGAACAGTGCACTTCAGGGATACCATTGCTAATAAATGCACTTACACGGTGAGTAATTTGGTAAGAACGACAGTTGTGTGAATTTAAAGTAGATTGATAGATGCTCATATTGAAATCTTTTTGGAAACAGGTGATTATTGACAGTAAGTAGCCTGAGAGCAAAAAAAAAAAAAAACCCCAAAATTATAGTTTCCTAGTATAGCTTTACCTTAATAGCTTCCAATAAAAATGCTGTATTTTTGTATAAATTAAGAGATAGCCGTAATCATAGAGGTGGTTTGATCTGGTACTATGAATACTCTGAATATATGACAGGTGGCCAGGTCTCTGCATCCAAAAGATTTTCGTTTGTTGTAAATTTATTTTCAGTATTTAAATAACTTTGATTTTAGATCTATTTTAATTGGAAAAAATCCTGTAGYAATTTAAAACTAAATCCTGTATAAATTTAAAACTAAAAGGCTAGTACATTCTGTAAATTTGATACATCTTATATGAACAGTATTTTCAGACTTTATTTTTAATCATTTTTAATATTCCTGAACCATACGTTTCTTGTCAACAAAAGTTGCAAAAGGGAAATGTAAGACTGCCTGCTTCAAATATCTGACTACTAGTTCAAAAAAGAAAACACATAACACAGAAAAATATATCACTAAATTAAATATTTTTTCATTTTACTCAAAAATAAGACTATACAAAGTAAGACAMCTTATATGTAGTAAGCCTATAAATAGGTAGATTGTTGTTTTATGATACATAGTTGTCTTAAATGGAGGGAAAGGATTAATAAACTTCTGTTACGACTGTTTTCTATTCAAAAGATGAATTTTAGGTTATGTGCAGGACCATCAAAAATTGGAACTCTTGACCAGTTAAGCATAAAGAGAAGACAGTAAAGTACTCGTTCACTATTGCTCGCTTACATCTTCCATATTATGGTGGTTGGCTTTTTCTCCTATGTCTTTTTTTATTTTGTTAAGAAACAGATCCTAATGAGTTTTCAAAATTTTACTGTAAGCAGTTAGTKTGTTTGCATTCAAAGTCAATCTAGATTGACAGCCTTTTCTGTCAGTGTCTTAACCTGCTATATCTTTCATGAAGTTTTATGTAAGAGCTTTCATGTAGAACTATTGTGAAAATATTTAATTACAACATGTTAATACTTACTGTTCCCCTGGAGAGGTAGAGACATGCAAAACTAATGCAAATAAATTAATATTGTTAGATTACAGTTTTTAAGCAAAAATAGGACAAACTTTCAGGAGAGGAATTTTTAATTGTTAACGTCAAGTGAGTTTTGTGAACAAAGAAATTTTGAATGTAAAATCCCATTTTTACAAATCCCATTTTCAAATTAATAAGCAAATATATTGAACATCTGATTTTCAATCAGAAAGTAAATTTCTTCTTATAGATAACTAGCATGTACCTGGAAATCAACAGTAGAAATCTAAAAGAAGCCCCAAAGTCATCTGACTTTTGGACTTGTTTCTGCTTTTCTGTTGCGTAACTTAGTTCACTGCTGCACGTTACTCTGAATTTCTGGGTGTGCTTTCTCCATACTAGAAAGCGGACACAATAAAACTGAATTCTATGATTATGGTATACCTCGCCTGCATCATTATATTCTGATTAGGAACATTTTTTAAAAAAGAAAACTCAGCTATAATATGATGTTCTGGTGTAGTCTGTAGGAATTCCTGTGTAGAAGTAAGCTATTCAGGAATAAGCTGTTGATGTGCACGTCTTTCTGGAATGGGTATAGTTATGCATGTTAAATATATYGATATAGGTAAAACTGTATGTTTTTAATATAAACAAGCCCTAGATTTCAGRGAATGGAACAGTTAAGCTAATTGTTAGGAGGCCTAGTGGTTTTAGGTATCWCTTGTGGGAAAACATAAAGTAATTACAGACTGCTGCTTTCTCTTGCTTTTATATTAAACTGTAAATATTTTTAGTTGGGATGAAGTGGACACAATTTAATATCCATGCTTTGAGTGTAAATAGCACTGTAATAAGATATGAAAGCAATAAGGCCTGATGCACCTCAAAGAAAACCTGAAATTAAAGGATGTTTTAAAGTTTAACTTCAAGTATGCCCCGCCCTGAGAAATATGATATGCCGTATCTCATTGAGCTGTATGCCACAATAATAATATAATGCATAATAATAAGTATATGTAATATGCATTATATTKATTTGTATATTTATAATAATACATGCCACAGAAAAGACAACATGGGAGGAAAAATATTTTCATAACTGTGTTTGTATAGCTGCAGTAAGTAAGGAATTGAGGATGCCTACTGAAGAGCAAGCTTCTTATTAATGAACAACAACTGGTCAATCTACTGAGAGAATAGAGTCCTGTGCATATGAGAAAGTATATGCAGGATGGAATCGATGGTATTAGGTTATTTTTAATTATGTAAGAGTGTAGTGCACATATATATGAAAATTGTGTGTCTTTAATATTGGTGTTCTGAAAATTTTGCAGTGACTCTGTGGTAGATGTTACAAAATTGTAAATACAAAAGCTAAAACTTTAATTTATATTAATTATAAGCTTTTAATATTTTTGAATAAAAAGCCCTTTATCTTAAATCCCTAAATGACATAATAGTAGTATTTGAAAAAAATGGATTGTGTCTGGACATCATGGAGTCAATTTTGAAAAGAATTCAAGATGAATTTCTGGAAGTAGGTTTATAATTGGTTCCCTGTGAGACTTCAGAARTCTCTTGGCATCTGTCAATATTTAAATATCGATCCTTTCTGTGCTTTGAAAAATTGCTCAGTTCACACTGCAATCTATAAGAAATCTAGATTTTTTGTTAAAATTCAAAGCTGTGTTTATTGAATTTTTTAATGAACTAAATCAGATTTAAGAAAAATACTTTTATTATGTGCTGTATACATGGAAAGAAGTGCTGAAGACCGGAAAGGCCTTCCCAAGCAAATTTAAGCAGAAAATACTTGTATTTGAAAAACAGTATCCCTAAAAAGTGGTGACTGTAATGGCTTGTCAACAACCTTTTTATTTTAATGATATGAATGGGATGAGAATTTTTGTTTATTAATCTAAACTCTTTATTTTTTTTCTTCCTTCTACAGATGGAATACCTCAGGTCTACTATTTTGGCCCGTGTGGCAAATATAATGCCATGGTGCTGGAACTATTGGGACCTAGTTTGGAAGACTTATTTGATTTGTGTGATAGGACTTTTTCTCTTAAAACTGTTCTTATGATAGCCATACAGTTGGTAAGTAAAATAAAGCTCTGCATGTTAATTTGAGTGTTAGAATGCTAGATCTGTTTTTAAAATGCACATTTGACTTAGTAAGATTTGTATTTTTTGTGCTTTAAATTGATATTAGTGGTGTTTCAGTCTTCTAAAGAGCCCAAGGTAGACAGTTTTAACTGGAAGACTTTACATTGCTTTTCTTACATTTTGTTCTAATTTTTCAGATTTGTTGTGTGAAAATGGTATTATTGTCTCCTGAGTCATCATACATAGAACCAGAAATAATGAATTCTAGTGACGTTTGGTTTAAAAGCAAAATCTTGAAATACGTATTTTTAATCCATAAAGCTGTTGGATGATGGGATTCTTAACTTATTTYCCTGGAGGTTCTCAAATGTTTAAAAAACAAAAAGACAAAAAACTAAGAATACAAATTAACTTGTTGTAGTATTCTTTCCACTTGAGTAAAAAGAGACTAAGCTTTGCRTAATTACTTTGGTGCATTGGTTTTAATAGGTCATTCTGAAATATTAAAATATCCAGAGCCTCCTGTTCTCAAAGCAGTGTGAGTTTTTTTCTCATGAAGAGTAAAAACGTTGTTCATTAAAACACTTCAACTGGATAACAGGTTTGAGAGTAGCATAAAATTTATTTTACAATATTTATAAGTAGTTTGTTTTTACATTTTAATCATCACAGATCTGAAGTCATCATTAGTAACTATTTCTATCCAAATAGGTAAACACTGATAGAAACTGATAGATTAGTAACTTCTAGTGCTGCTTTAGTTTGACATTTGTAATGTGTAATAAATCTACCTGGAGCCTTGCTGCTTACATCTTGATGACATAATTTCTAGTTATAGTTTTAATGCGCACAAGAAACTATTTTTGCTAATTCTCAAAGACACTCAGGTTTTGTTACTTATACTGTGATTCATGTTTGACTTGAAGCGTGAATAGTTTTCTGTACACTATMTGCTCCAGGCATGTGTGCCATTTCTTTAACTGGGATCTACCATATTAAGAGCAATAGCCCTTTAGATTAAAGTTCAGAAGGTAATGCCCTCTAAATATAAAATTAATGTAGAAATACTTAGCTTCTACCACAATTTCTTGTGGCAATCTGAAGCTTAAMCTAAACTTTTTGTCGTTTTTTTCCTTTTGTTAAAGATTTCACGTATGGAATATGTCCATTCAAAGAACTTGATTTACAGAGATGTAAAACCCGAGAACTTCTTAATAGGACGACCTGGAAACAAAACTCAGCAAATTATTCATATTATAGATTTTGGTTTGGCAAAGGAGTATATAGATCCAGAAACAAAGAAGCACATACCATATCGAGAACACAAGAGCCTTACAGGAACAGCTAGATACATGAGTATAAATACACATTTAGGAAAAGGTACGTGTGCTTTTTAAGTGCAGAAACAAGAATTCAACAGCTGTCATTATTTGTGTGAAATCGTCTTGTTTTTAAGTTGTAATTTTTATCAAGAGTCTGTAGTCATTAAGAATTGAAGTTTCTTATACTTTGTAAAATTATARTTCAGCAGTATTAAGATACTGTTTACGGAATTAAGGTATTTTGGGTTTCTGATCATCATGGGCATTTCTCAGCAAGTAATTGCAGTATTTTTATTAGATAAATGTAGAAGAAAGAAGTTAGATATTTATAACATCTTCACATTAGAAATAATCCAAGTTAAAAAAGAACAAACAAGTCAGATTGTTGTATGACAGTGACTAAATCGAATACTGCTTGAGTCAGTGATAAGGTTACAGAATGTTTATAGTTCAAAAGTAGTTTTTGTTAGTATGGCGTATATTCCTAATAATGGTAAGGGATTTTATCAATAAAATCAAACATTRTAGCTTTAGTAGTGGGATACTGTAGCTGAAGAAATGAACATAATGTTTTAAAAATGTATGTTCATGTATTTTTTCACAAGAGATTGATTCCATTAAGAGGCTAATCATGTACACATGTTTAGCCTTGATTCATTTTTTTTAACAGGTAAAAAATGTCTGTGTTTAAAGACAAATTTTTATACTTAATATGGACTCATCTTCCTATTTCTCCTGATTTGTTTTTATTTCAAAATTTATGCTTTTTTGATAGGAGGGCAGAAATTGSTTCTGGTTCCCACTTCAGTCTCTCTAAATCTGAATGAAAGAGCTGTCTTTCATTTCCACAAATGCTTATACTGTCCTCAAATATGGCTTTTCTACAGAAATATAAATATATACCATTAACGTTCAGCATTTCATGACAAATGTAGGCTCATATTTACAACATACCCTTCAATAGCACATTAGTACAGTCAAATTTGTGGTATCTTCAAGCAAGTTAAACAATGCAGAACCCTTTAAAAATAAACAAAAAATGCAGATGTTCAAAGTAGAGAGAAGACTTCAAGTAGGTACCTTGATGATGATAAGGTGAGGTTTTTATGTTGACTTTTCCAAGAAGTATTGGTTTGATATGGCCACAGATTACATTGTTGTTTTAATTTAAATTTTAGTATCATTTTACTTTCATCTCTGTATCATCTGGCAAGTTGGCTTTTTATAAATAAAGCTGAAGGGTTTCTTTTTTGTTATGTGCAAACYGGTTTTGGTATGAAAGCCAGACTTGCATATGTGCAATTTAGATGTGAATTAGACTTGTTTTCTCCATATAGATTCCTAAAATAGGCTCAAATGTCTCCTTTAAGTAGGGAAAAAGAGGCAGGTTAATATATGTTAGATGTCCAAATACAAGATTAGCAGCATGTATCCCCAGATAGTTAGGAGTATATGATCACAGATCACTGAATCAGACAGTTACTGAAAGACCACCTAGTTAAATCTGGTAATAATTATAATCGCATACAGTTCTTCATCGACATCTAAGTAACATTGCATATTAGCATAGTTTTTTTAGAGAAGTAGAAAAAAATGCTATTTAATGAATACCTTACCATTGTATTTGATGCTTGTTTTTCTAGAGGCAATTTGAATTTGTTTTAAAAATCTCATCCTGCCTCTTGGAAGTATCTTCACAGGCTGATTAACTTCTTTAAAYGTATCTTCCAAGGGGAAATTATAAAAATAAGATAAAATATTAATAAGTTGYTTCAGCTTTTAGAGGAGGGAAATGATAATTTTCTGGCTATCTTTTCAGCTTCATGGTGATGCTTCTATACTGTATATTAAATTGAAAYATATTTCAAAGATTTACTGAATGGTTGAACACTCATAATTACTGGTGTTTACACATCAGGAATTCACACAATTGAAAAATATTGCTTTTCAAAAACTGTGTATACATAGAGAGTGTAACTGTATTATGAAAAGCACCTGAGACTCTTGACTCTAGGAGCGTCTTGGAGTATAGCTTGTTAGCATACTGCATGGGTCCATACGTAATGAAACATCTGTAATATCTGTATCCAGTCTGTTTTTTTTTTTTTTAGACTAGGGCATTTTCACATAAGCAGAAGCTAATCAGTGTATCAAGTTATTGTAGTTGAGTTGATACAATGATACTGGTGCAAAATGTTTTCCTTAGCTTACAAGTGGAGACATTGTGATTTTGGGGAACTTAGTCACTTTTTCATCAYTTTTTTCTGATGATAAAAATTAGTGCTGGAAGCGTCCTTATATTAGCACCATATGAAGAAGGKTGATGCGAACAAGAGAGTTGAAGACTAGCAAGGCCTCAATGATTCACAGCTTTGAGCTGCTTAAATAGCCCTGTTTTTCATATGTAGGTTGCATGACAGTCTGTCTGTCTTAAGGATTCTCAGCCTCCAAAATACGTCAGTTTTCCACTCAGTTCTTCACGTAGATGCAGTACTTCAATCACAAACACTTCATGAAATAGGATGAATAGTGAAAGTTATTAATGTGTGTGTTTGAAAATACAGTAACCATAATGAATGTGCACATTGCCATGTCAGAATTTTGTAGTTTTAAAGATTACTCATTAGTATTCATTCTAAGTTTATTCTTTGATTTTGAGTATAATAGAAAAAGTTTAAGAATGTAGAGTTCTTTATTGTGTAAGTTTGAATTGATGGAAGTGAATTTTACAAGAAGTTATGTACCRGTTTATGTAGGCTTTGAATAATAGTTATGTAATACTTAGTTTAATAGCAAGTTACTTGCAGAGCTGACAGCAATCTTGGCTTCTGGATCTCTAGCCATGAGTGTGAAGGTGGTGGGAAATCATTCCTTATACCAGGTGATGAGAATATTATCCTCACCATTTTATGCTTAAAGTGCTCACTTAGGCTCAGAAAGCGTCTCGGAGTTGAGTATTAGGTTGGTATTTCCGTAGCGGTAACTTTAAAGATCAATATATACACTGGCCATAGCATTATGACCACTCTGGTTCCTTTACTCACTACAAAAGTGTTTGGAGACCCTTTGCAGCAAAGTAAGCTTCCATTATAGGGCTACTAATTCTCTAATTAGARATTAATATTCTTTTATTAATTTTTAGTAATTCAAATACTGTTTTGCTTATTTCTGAAAAGTTAATTTGTTTTTATGTATAAATTAATACAGTAGCTTTAGTCATATATTGCCYAGGTATAAGAACCATATTTCCACAGTGAGATAAATATGCTTAATGTGAATAATAGTAGTGATCTTGGTCAACTTTTGTATAAACATTAGCTGAATAGGAGGTCCTTTTCAACCTCAGCCTTACTGTGATTCTGTTAATAGTCTTTTATTCTACTTAAACTCAGAAAGTTCTGGGTTGYATATAACAGTGCTTCTAGTATGCCCTGCTAAGTTAAGATGCTAAGCTAAGATGAGAAAATTCAAATTCAACATTTGTTATTAAATTGCTCTGCTCCCTTAAAGGTACAAGTTAAAATAAGATTTTTCCTTTAAATTCATTTTCCTTATGTAGTAATGTGGAATGAAATGTGTACTTATGGTGAAACTACTAACATAACTTTGCTTTAAAATTTAATGATTTTGTTCAAAAGGAGGTGCTATTATGTTATTGCATAGACTCATACCATTTTGAATAAGACCCTGCCTTACTACTGGGTGATAATTTTTACATTTACTTACACTAAACTTTTATAGACTTGCAGTTCAGCTTGTATAGTAACCACTAYCCCCAAGTTGTGGGATCACAGTAAGCAGCCTTTGTCTCATGCTACTTAATCACCCCGGTACCAATGCTGTGCTTTCTGTTCACTGAATAGATAATAATTTTCTGTTGTTTCAGCATTCCTGTAGGAAGCAGTAAAATACTTTTGTTGAAGGGAAAATACTGTGCTTATCATAGATATGTACTGTAGACTGAATGTCCTACTTGACTTGTGTTATGGATATTTTACCATGAAGAAATTTCTGCAGATGGCCTGCTGAATGAGGTTCTAATTCTAATTAAACTCAGTCTACCATAATTAAATTGACCAATTTGACTGTAGCATGTGAGCTAAATAATGGGTAGTCAATCAGTTTSTTTATCAGGTAGCTGTCCTCAAGTGACCCTCCTTGAGAGAGGGGATTTTATGTGCCCTAAAACCTTCTATTTGCCATCTAAGATCGTATTAGCAGATCCTCTCAGTCTCATTAGACTGTGATGCAGTAGGATTAATGTACGTCAGCAGTTCTTTCTGCATCTGATATTTGAAATCCTTCTGTCTATCAGCTGTCTCACTCCTCCTTTTTTTTTCGCAGCTTTCTTGAGGTCTTTCTCTTAAGAGTAGCAGTCTTTGAATTTCATGTTTCTCAAATATTTGAGAATATTTCTCAAGTATTCTCGAAAGAATATTTGATTGTTATTGATTTTATCACTCTGCAGTGATCAACAAATAATTCTTAAATGTATTATGAATAATAGCACACAATATTAAAGATATTAAAGAAACTTTGCTGTAGCAGAATCTTGTGAATTTTGAATGATGTATCCTAGAAATAATTTTCCTACAGAAGTGTATCAAACTATCCAAAGTTCATGAAAAAAAAACCAAAATTCTTACTTGAAAGTTGTATCAGGATAATGATTAAAGTTTTGTGTGTGTGTAAAATACTGTCAGTGAAGGAACAGTGGCTCAAAAATTAGCATTTTACAGGAGAATAGGTTAACTTTTGATCAGCACGATCGTGCAGAAGTTAATGCAGAGGAGAGGAATTATTTTTCCCTTAGCAAAGACCAAGTAGAACTTCCCAGGATCCTTCTGTGGGCCGTATTTTGATACTGCCCACAGGGCTTTGACTGTACTTCTCAAACTTCATGTTTTGCCATGATCTCTGTGCAACTAATGAACTCTCTTAAACACATTCATGTTGCATTTTACAAAATTTGTCTTGAGCTGTGAGCACTTAACAAAGTGCTCATTATCGCCATATCCACCTCATCTCCTGAAGAGCACAGGGTTCTGTGAGGCAGCTGGAATCACTGTTTCATGCACCTACTGAAATCCATCAGGCGTGGAGCTCTAATACCTATTCCTGCTCTGTCCTTACATACATGGGTGCATCAGCATGGAACTTAGGGAGTATGAAGCAACAGTGATGGCAGGGATGGCAGGTAAATTCAGATAAAGTCATCAGGCTGACCGGTGGATGATTCTTTTCTGGAAAGCGGAAGTGTCAGTGAGAATGGCAAAAGAAGTGACAGAGAATGATAAGTGGGTACAAAAGAAGCATGCCATATGACTGGCAAATGTGTATTGGGGTGAGGGSTTCTAGTTCATGCTCTGCATATGTTTTACTGATATTTCCTTAATAATTYGTGTGTATTGTGCGTATAGTGTTCAAGTGTGACCAAGTCAGGGCTTTCTGAAAAATAAATGATTAAAAAGGTAAAGTAAGATGTAAAACTGTTCTTGTTTCATTGAATTAAGATTTGTTGTTCGGCTGCAGAGCATTCACTTTGTATTTACAGAGTGTAACAATGGGTTAATTGGCTTTGTTGAACTTTGTCGTCARAATTTAATCAAAACAGTTTTTCATCTGCTTTTGTGCTCTTTTTCTTTCCCTATCAAGGCATGGTAATTTTATTTGTGTGAAAATATTGAATAGAGGGAATGTTAATATTTGGATTTTGTATCTTCTGTTGAAGAAGGTGTCAGAGGGAAGAGATGCCCATAGTACCAAATGTAGCTTACTAATTCATCYTCTACAGCAATTGTAGAATGATGTTGGTTGATAATATAAAATCTGCTTTTTACTAGACCTTGAATATTCTCTACTACGTGGAGAATTTTGAAGTATATTTTATTTAAAGGTAACATGAAAACATTTGAGCACATTGCATTTCTGTTACTTTACAGTTTTGAAGAACTTCAACCAAAATCTGAATTCTGTTTGGATGACTGTCTCCTCATGACTGCAGACAAATTAATTTTGTGCTGAACAGTTTTCTATATAACTTAGCTTTAGGTCAGCCCTGTCAGAGAATAGGCAGTATGTACATGCCTCATGGATGATGCTTTTTGATTAAATGATAAGAGTCCACGGCCCTGTTAGAAGACTTTTGTCTTACTTAGAAATACTATGAAGGGGTACAGAGAAACCTACTTCCTTTTTTTGTGCTTTTTAGATTGTATTCAGTTAAGAGTTTTCTTAAATGGTTCAAAATCCACTAAAAATGCATGGAAGATAATAATAGAATGCAATTGGATATGTTAACAAAAATAGAGCTTAAAATCACAGCAGTTTTTTACAACATGTTTTTTAAATATTGTTGATGAATATACCGGCAACCTGTATCTGCATCTGCATTTCCTGTTTTTGCTCTGTTCCTGATGGCAAATTTGAAAAAAGTGGAGTTTGTTTTCTAGTATTTCATACCTTTCAATTATTTTTCTTTGTAATTTGGAAGCAAATATTGTTAGTGTAAAATTATGCAGATATATTACCCTAATAATATTTGGATTTTGTTTCAGAGCAAAGCAGAAGAGATGATTTGGAAGCTTTAGGTCATATGTTTATATATTTTCTCAGAGGAAGCCTCCCATGGCAAGGTTTAAAGGTAGTTATTTTTTTATATCTTTTTTTCTTCCTGTTTTCAGATCTTGAGCTTTTCTTGGCATGATCTTTTTCTTTTGCAATGTTTGTCTGCAGTTTGCATGACTTAAAGTCTTTTTTGTTCTTGTATCCTAGGCTGATACATTAAAAGAACGTTATCAGAAAATTGGAGACAAAAAACAAACAACACTTATAGAAGTATTGTGTGAAAGATTCCCAGGTAATGACTGCTGCTAATTAAAATATATGCTGATCTGAGAAACACAACTAGCATAGATAATTTTTTATAAAACTTCATATTGTAAGTAAAATAAAACAATCCTTTCAAATAAAATCTTATATATTTTTACTATGGCTATAAGAATTGTCCTTTCAAGTAGTAAACTAATGCTGTTTTTTTCAAAGATAATTTCTTCCAAACGGAACACTTAAAAATGCATATTCTAAAAATGATTAGCTAGCCTGTAATTGTATTCGAACAGAAAATTTTGCAAGTTTCTAACCTCTAAAACTGCCCATTATTTCAAATTATTTTTTAAAATGACTAGCTTTTTAGTTAGTATATGCTCATTAGCAACAGCTTGAAATATTTGAGCTCAGAGTATCAGTAAGGTATTAGACTTGAAAAAAGTAGTCATGGGAGTTATGTTTTGTAAGTTGGAGTAACTGAAGAATTGAGAAGCTCTGGCTGAGGGTAAGCAATCAGAATAGAAATTAACATTGTGAAAGGTAATCATGAGATGATTGATAGGCAAAATGGAACTGCCAAGAACAGCTCCTGGCAAAGCAGATTGTTTTATGGCAAGACAGATTTTGTGGAGAAACAAGGCAGATGTCCTATGTCGTGAGACTTCAGTACTGCAGACCCGTGTGATACATTCTTACAAGTTATCGCAGAATCACGGAATGGTTAAGGTTGGAAGAGACCTCTAGAGATCATCTAGTCCAACCTTCCTGCTCRAGCAGGGACACCCAGAGCACGGGGCACAGGGTAGAGCATGTGGCACTGGATAAGTTATCTTAGAAGCATAATCAAAATGAATCTACTCTGGGAGGAAGACTGTAAAACCAGTTGAGGTGTTCAAGTCCTGATAAGTGTCGTATTGAAAGCATGACATGAAATTTCCAGACAATCAGTTAATACTGCTCAGTATTTTAACAAATATACTGAACAACTAAGTGTTAATTAAACTTGCAAATGACTGTCTTGAAATGCATAACTTGGGCTGTGGGATTAGAATGAAAAGATCTTGACAAATTATGTTGTGAAAATATATGTTATGTACCAAAAAGATACATTCTAGGTAATGTGAATACAAGATAAAATACAATTTGAATTACTGGTTACAGTGAGGTTCATTAAGTAATGGTTTAAAGGCCAGCCAGACAAAGTGTATGGGGGACAGTGCCATACTGTATTTAAAAATAATATATATATTTATGCATACAGACACACATGTATACACACACACACACACCGAACTGGATATACAAAGATTATAACCTTCAAGAAACAAGACAAATCATTTACACTCTAATACAGTAAAGCCTCACCTGAAGCAGCATGTCCAATGTTAGGGACTGTGCTTCAAGAAGGGTCCTTGTTTAGAGGTTTCTTGTGAACAGAAGCTAGATATTTGCTAGATGTCTTACCAAAAACTGAAGGCAGGGGTTGTTTTAGCCTAAATAAGACTGAGGAGATGAGAGTTTTATACATTTTAGCTGCTACAAACTTGAAAAGAATTAATTTGTAATATCCACATCAGAGAAGACAAAGTAATGGATTTGAAGCGGTTAAGGTTAAACTTAAAGTCCCGTCTTTTAAAGATTATGAAGAGCTGCCTGTGATACTGGAATTTTTTCACTGAAGTTGTGAAATCAGGATAGACAGGTATAACTGATTTGCTATGGGATAGGTGTTAGCTGACCTCTTGAAGCTGTTTCCAACCCTGTACTGTGCAGGCTCTTTACCAAAGGTGAAATTAAAGGGATTCACATTTTAAAACATAAATCTATTTTTTTAGAAAATATTTAGAATGGGGCATTTATATCTTGCAAACTGTTAAACTTTCCTTCTTTCTAATAACTCACAGCATCATGACAAATAACCAGTTCTTATAGTAAGAGGTAGAAGAAAGATGATTTTTARATGGCATAATGTTTTTTGGAGAGACTTTGAAACACACATGACAATTATGCACATTTCTTATTTAATGTAGAGGAAATGGCTACCTATCTACGCTATGTGAGAAGACTGGATTTTTTTGAAAAGCCAGACTATGACTACTTACGAAAGCTTTTCACAGACTTATTTGATCGCAAGGGCTATGTGTTTGATTATGAATATGACTGGATTGGCAAGCAGTTGGTGAGTACAGTTAATCTGTTAAGATGCTGGATTTTCTCATTAGTTTTGTACCTGAGTCTTGAATTTTAACATATGTGTATTTCTCGCACTGTCTGTGAGTAGTTAACAACTTCTATTACAAATCCATTTCTAAATGTACTTTCATATGTTAATTTATGGATTGATTTTTTTAATATTGAGTCTCTTACCAAACATGCACCTATCTTAATATCAACCAGAATCCATTTTCTGTCTTAAAAAAAAAAAAAAAAGTAGAAATGAAAACTTTTTTCAACTGAAGAAAGACTTCAAAACTTGACAAATGACTATTATCTCTGCATGTTTTTCTCTTTATTTGGGGAATATCTCAGCTTCTACAATATTTTTTAAAGCACTTAGCCTATATCTGAGATTTATACTAAATATTGATTAGTTAATTGTGAAGAAACTGTATGCTTTTATACACATAATTTTTAATGAAAGATCATGTAGGAAAACAGTTTTCACTGCCTGTCTGTAAAACTAAATACTGTGTTTTTTTTCAAATTAATAGTAAAATAAGATTTTTTTTTAAATGTAGATGTTGTCTTTTACTGAATAGGAGAGTGGTTGTGCACATAAATTAAACAATTTCAGGTTGAACATTCTCCCCTGAAGTTCCTCTGCCAGTCCCTGGAAGAACTGTGACACTGTATTGCTGACGTTTCTTGCAGTGTTTAGTGTGAAAATGTACTTTAAACCTTTTTTTCTTTGGACTATCACCAGAATGTTTCATAAGTGAATCCTAATAGGAGAGAACTCATTGCAAATTGACATGAGATAATACTCATAATTGTTTCTTTATGTAGTTGTTCTGGGTTCAGTCTTCTGAATAATGCACAGACCAATTWGAAAACTGTGGCGATACCAGACAAATTTAAATATACACCTTCATGTCAGTATAGAATAACATAATTTATTAGAAGTAAACAGCTTTATAATTAAACAAAAGCTTGCGCTAATTATGTTACATTTTAAAGAATATAGAAAATAGGATATGCTTTGATATTTTTGGTATTAGCTAATTTCTACTGTAATTTTGCTTTAACCTAATAATTTGACATAACTGCATAACAATTAGTGATACAGTTAGACTATTTTGGATTGTGATGCGGTAATTTTTTGTAAGACTTAGAAAATTTATTTTTTTTACCAGTTGCTACATAATGTTTATATTTGTAGCCTACTCCAGTGGGTTCAATTCATTCAGATTCTGCACTGTCATCAAACAGAGAAGCACATCAGCACAAAGATAAAATGCAGCAATCCAAAAATCAGGTAAATCGCTCATGTGACACTAGCAGCATTACTTTGTCTTTAATCAAAAGATTTACCATATATGTTTTCTCTTTTTTAAATCAGGATGGTAGAAAAACATGATTAGATAATTTTCTTATGAGAGATTTAGTTTTAGCTAAGTTGCAGCTCTTCAGTTTACAAATGGAATTGTAAACATGTTTGTATACAGATAGTATAGATGTACATTCTTTATTGGAATTGAATATGTAGATTCTGTTATTTTTAGAATATGCACGAATGGTTTAATATTCTGAATTTTATTTTTCCTTTTCTTATGTCTAACACATCCTAACAATGATAGTCAACAGATCATAGGGCAGCTTGGGACTCCCAGCACAACAATCCACACCACTTGAGAGCTCACTTAGCAGCTGACAGACATGGTGGCTCAGTACAGGTATTTTCCACTTCTTTATGTGATTGATTGCTTATGTAATATTAGTCTCCTGTAATGATTACATGATTCTTGTTTTTATCTTAAATTTGTTTTTCAGGTTAGAATATGTCTGCACTTTCCACCTTTACAATTACCAAACTGAAATTAAAACAGATTCTTTTGTTAATGGCTACATTAATTATAAAATTGATAGAAATAGTGAGAGAAAATAGGTTCTTTTAGGTTTAAAGTCAAAGATACACAGAGAACTAGGATTTTTCTGGAGACTCCTGAATTATGGAGGAACTTGAAAGGAAATTAATGGCATTGAACATCATCTATTTTTTACGTTAGTAATGCTTTTGCAATCTTGGGAACCAAGAACAAGTATCTAGACTGTTGGATCTGTAACCTTTTTTCCTGAAGACTGTTCTTTGAGATAAAGCTCAGTCAGCCCATACAAAGAAGGAAACAAAGGAGCCTGAGATAAGAAAGCCTGAATTTGTATCAGAAAGGAAAAGGCCCTGGTTCTGCTTTATGCCTTTACTTAAGGCCTGTAGAGGATGCTTCAGGGGAATCTGCAAGCCTGCTGAGCAGAATTGCTCTTAGTCTTCTGTCTTCTAGAGAGTCTTCTATACAGATCACTGATCCACTAGTAAAGGTGATGAAAGTATACTAGGTTTGGGGAATATTTTGGGAATATAACCCTATATACTATACGCTAGTATACAGGGTTTTGCGGAATTAACTAAAATAAGTCCTGAAGATGTGTTGTAACTTCAGGAATTTACAGATACAAAGTGTGACACTACCACGATTTCACTTATTTCTGGTGATTACAGGTAGTAAGTTCAACAAATGGAGAATTGAACACAGATGACCCAACTGCAGGCTGTTCAAATGCACCCATCACAGCTCCTGCGGAGGTAGAAGTCATGGATGAAACAAAGTATGTACTTCGTTTTGTATTCTTCTGATCCTGTGTGCTTAGCTGCTTATCTATTTACTGGAAAAATCTCATCTGAACTAAATAACCACTGGTGTGGGGCAAAATAGTACAGTGCTATACTTAATTTTGGCATTAAATATAGAAATGGTGTTTTTTGTGCTCTTTTGGACTGCAGCTCTCAGTAGCATGTTGCATGTTTGATTTTTTTAAAACTAACTTCAAAATAGTTAATTTAAAATAGTGTTCTGACCACCAAAATGTATGTGTAAAATAAATGTAGAATTCTTCCTCTGCATTGCATTCTGATTCTCTTTTCTCTCTTATTTTCTTTGTATATAGCTGCCAGAAAGTGTTGAACATGTGGTGAGTGCTGAAAGAGAAGCAGGCAGAAATAGCCCCATAGGCTGTATTCTTATTGCTTTAAACCTTGCTATCGACAAGTTTAACATAACAATTCATAGTGGAAATTGGAGGAAAAAAAAAAGTATTTAAACAATTAATTTCTACAAACAGCCATGTTGAGGAGCTATTTTGCCTGCTGCAAATCATGCTTGCTTTTAAACCGTGTAGTCTCTGGTGTACCCTTATTTAATCCTTTTCAGTTAGTACAATGTTTTTACTTATTTACTGTGCTATTTTAAAGAGGAAAAGATTGGATGAGAGTGTTCAACTAGTGTTTTAATGTACAGAAAATTACACACATATATGAACAAGTAGTGATAACTTTGCTCATTACCTCTTTAAATGTTGTACTTGTGAAAGTATCAGTCTTTAGCCTATTAATGACTTACTGAAAAAAAACTTCAGGATGCCTAAAAACTACAGTAAACTTAATTGGGAAATTATATATATATTTTTAAAATATGTGGTGGATCATTGATATGGTTATACATTCAACTAATCAAGCATACAAAAAATACAAAATCTTGGAAAGAAGTACAAAAATACAGATCCTGATAGCTAAAGACTATTCTTAACATCTCATCTTTTTGAGAATAGAATTTTAGAAGGGCCACCAAACACTAGTGTATAGGTATAYGTACTTTTATTAGTGCCAATTCTTGAGAAGGCTTAAGTAGATTTTGGGGCATAATAGTTGTAAGCTTACAATATCAAAGGGGTTGCTGTTAATCAGTTGCTGAACAGTGTAAGGAAATGCAATATCAATATTCATTCCTGTCTGTAGCAAAGGCATTTTGTTTTTTAAGGAGATTTGTTATTTTGTCAATARGTTATTACTTTGGTCTTTAAAGACCTTTTAAAAGATGTTTAATAACCTTTTCTTTAATGTCTTATGCTTATACCTACTTGTAATATTTCTTCATATTTGAAAGCAAAAACTTGTTCTAGTCTATCCCTTATCGTAATATTCCTCAGTTACTGCATTGCCTCTGAGGATTTTATCCTCAGGTAAAGTCAGACAAGCCTGACTTTAGCAATGTCAATTTAATTTGATTTAGTATTTAATTAGTTAATTTAGCAATGTTAAATTAAGGCTGTGGTTTTTTTCTTCTTGAAAAGTAGATTTTAGCTTTTTCTCGAGCACAACAACAGTTGTAGAAAGGAAAATAATTTGATTGCTGCTCTACCCGAGCACTTGCAGAGCCTAGGTTTTCTTTTATCATGTAAGGAAATCATTTTTACATTTACTTATATCTCGCTGTAGATTCGGGACTTCTATGGATGTATTTCCAGTTACCACTAAGCAATTAGACTTTCTTTCCTAAACTCATGGCTAGCCGTCTATATCAGAACAGTGTTCCTCAGAAATGTTTAGTTTGAGTAATCAAAAGGTTCAGCCAGAGGCTGACATATAAGGACAAGCAGGAGAAGAGAATGAAATGATTTTATATCATTTCTGCAGTTCACATTGTTGAAGTACGTGCTAATAATTCTACAGTAAACTGCTGTCACATACTAGATGAGAAGTATAAAAATGCAGCTATATAATCACAAATGAGAATTAAAGTTGCTTTGCTGTGCTGGGGGATTGCCCAAGTGATAAGAGTATTTAACAAAAAAAAAAAAAAAAAAAGGGATTTTGAAGTAGTATGAGAAATATTACTAAGCAGTACTGAGATTTCTAGCCTGAGTCCTATTTCAGAAGTCATCTAACTTCCACAGAAAAAGCAAAATCATTTCTGGCTGACAGCATAATTCCTATTGATGAAACTGGGTAAAGCATGGAGGGAGATTAGGGGTCTTTTTTGCACTTTCTTAGTGGGCACTGAATGTTGMGGTAAACTTGTATTTTACTCCATAACAGTGTCTTTATTCTCTAGCTTTGTATTTGTCTTCAAGCGTTGTAAGGTAATGTGTGTTTAGGGCCTCTATGAGGCCCTCTAGTGACAGTATTCCGGAAATACGCCATAAGTTCTGTAAATGGTTATGATTCTTCAAGAGGTTATACGTTAGAGCTCTAGCAACAGAATTACATTTTTTCATGAAACTTCAGCCCACACCTGCAGGCCTGTCTAAACGTGCTGAATTTATTTGACTTTGGAAGGTTTACTGGGTCTAGTGTTTCTGAGCAGGTATTTTAGGAGTGATTTTAACGCTGATCCCCTGATTGACAGTACTGACAGAATATGGAATTCATATTCCTTTATCACAGTATTCTTAGTAGACTTGCAGATTTATTTTTCTACACCAAAGAACTCTTGAGATGTATATAGTGAAATTTCCTGAATTGRAATACAGTAGAAAAATTAATGAAATAAAAGCAACAGTTGTTATAAGAATCACAGAATCACAGAATATTCAAGGTTGGAAGGGACCTCTAGAGATCATCTAGTCCAACCTTCCTGCTCAAGCAGGCACACCTAGAACATGTGGCACAGGGTGGCATCCAGGTGGGTTTTGAAGACCTCAATATGCTTCCTAAGAGCCTTAGTATAGAGCATAAGAATATGCTTCCTAAGAGTCTTAAGCAGAATCTGAAAGTTGAGGTAGTTGAAAAGACAATTCTTATCATTAGTTAAGGGTAAAATTCTTGAATTCTCTAATGTGAGATGCCAGAAGGACCTCAAGGACTGAAGGAACAAACTGGATAGGCCATGGAGAAAGAATAAAGGACAGCACAGGGATTGCAGCAATGGATGATTTGAAATTTGCTGGAAAGAAACAAACCCAAAGCATCTTAAAATTGCACAGAGARTCAAAGTAGTCCTTGGAGTATGGATTGATGTTCTTTGTATGCATTCCATTTATGCAAAATATACCACAACAGCCTTAACTATACTACAGCTACCTTTAAAAAATAATTCTAGATAGTCTCTAGATAGTCTCTAGAATATAAATTAACAATTACCATGCTTTTTATTTTCTTACTTTATTATGTAATATGTTCTCTATATGGTAAAACCAAGAATCAAAACACTTCTGTAAGCTTTCTTTGAGGTCTCTTAGCCTGAAGCATGTGCAAACAAGTGGTTTGTCTTCAGAATATGGAATAGTTTCTCTATTACAGAATCACAGGAAATCCTTATACTTCATGTAAGGAAGGGATCATTATGAAAYGTTTTGATGTGATGTATATCTTATAAAATATTTGGGAAAAGTTTTTGCTGGATGAAGGACAAAGTTAGACTGAACCCCATACATATGTTTCCAAACTCAAATCTTAAGTAAGATGAATGTTAGTAGTTGTAGACAGATTTAAAAAAAAAAAAAAAGGCTTGTACTTAGAGAAGAGTTTTGCTTGCATTTGGTGGCTAGCAGCTTTCCAAAGCAGTTATGTTTCTCTTTGTAAATATTTTAAGGTAAATCTAGTGTTATTTCTGATAGCTGTGAAAATACTTATCCTCATAATTTCCCCTACTGAATTTTAATTTTGGGTTTCCTCTCTATCTATAACCATTTTTTTTTCTGTTACTGAAAGTTATGTAACCCTCAGAGCAGCTCTGGTCTGCCTCTGCCCACTGCTACATTTTCAGTGACTGAGCGGCAGAGTGCCCTTGGATATTTTGAGAAGGTAACTGCTGTCTCCCCTTGCCTTGGATGTTGTTCTCACCTCATTTAGAACCTTATTTTTAGACCCTTGTTCTCCCTGGTTTTCAAATTCTTTCCCCTTTTCCCATGTTCCAAACAAACTCAGCAAGATTCTTTTTGAAGCTTTATCTACAGATAAYGCTTAATGAGCCAGAGGGCTTGCAGCTGGTATATTGGTGCAATGAATTCCTATTTTGTCATTTCTATTGTGGTCCATAGCTTCAGGAAAAACTCTCAAATATCAATCTTCATAGTGCACATAGCAGTGCAATAAGCAGTTCATCAGGCAAGCTACAGAACTCCCTTGAGCAGGCTATCCTGAGACAAGAAGCTTTCATGTTTGCTTTAGATTGCAATTGAAGTACTGAGAATATTTTTCTGAATGGAAGCTTTAATTCTATAGGAGATGGTGAGGAGTTTTGTAAAATAACACCAGGCTAGCATTGCATGATAATGAAGWGTTCTCTACACTTGCTGCTTCCTTCTCTTTAATTTGCTTTCAAAAATACTTCCTGGACTACGGTAATTCTTCTCTGTRTTACCTCTCTAACTCTCGCTGTGGAACCTACCTGCCAACCTGATACCCTGCCTTTCCACCTTCCCCCCCATCCCCCCTTTTTTCTTTTTTTTTTTGTGTTTTATTACTATCTAATTTTCTGTATTAAGTGATATTGACAATTGTCAATTTTGGTTTTCTTTGTGTAATGAAAGAATATCATTATACTTTACTGCAAACTTAAAGCTGTAGYTTTCACTTTATTAATATCACAGCATTGAATTAGAGCATTTTTATCACTGATGAACATTATTTTCCACCATTTTTTTAGCGGGAAGGGGTTTCTCAAAGCTCCAAATGTCAAAAGGGAAATTTCAGTCATTCCACTGAGTCTTAAGGAATTAAGTATGCAGTTCAGGTGAGGCAAACTTGAGATGTTCAAGTTTGTATTTGCCTATTAACAATTATGTGAAAGAGTAGATGGGAATTAAACTTGCCTTCTTTTTAATACTCTCACATAGTACCTTAAACTTTATGATTGATATAATATGTTTCCAAAAAATGAAATGTGCGCACTTCAATATAGTCTTAGCTTTGTAGAAGTCAATCACCTGCAGTAGAGCTTAGTATATTTCTTGCATAAGTGGCTATGGCTTATCTACATCGTTTAAGAGAAAGTGTTTTATAGTTTATTTTTTCTCTTTTCTCTTTATATGATATGTAATCCATGTCACTCTTGCAGGTGTTGCTGTTTGTTCAAGCGAAGGAAAAGAAAAACCAATCAGCACCACAAATGACTTGAGAAGCGAGGAGAACACAGAAAATTGCTTACTTGTTCAACTGTTCAACTTCCTGTCTTGTGATCTAAAGAAAAAATCATCTCTGTAGTGACTGCACGTGTTTTCCAAGGACTCCCTTAGGAACAAAATCTCATGCCTCTGTGTTTTGATTTGGTTTTCCTACATCTCTTTTTCAGTTCATCTGTTCTGGAAGCTTTAAAGTTTTGTCAAATAAGTTTTTTGACCATCAATAAATGGACCAATGAACTGGACACTGTCTTCATTAATGGTAAACTTCAAAARCATTTCACCTGTCCTACAAAATATTAGCACCCTTAGTTGAGTAAAGATGTCATAAATCTGGTATTTGAATTCAGTAACAGCAGTCTTTTTTAAAAAAAAAAGGGAAAAAATAGATGCACAAGCAGTTAGAAAAGTCTTAAATTTTCTTTTGCATTGATTTTATTTTTCCAGCATTACTGATGGTACAGTAGTCAAATCATATCAGGATTGTTCTCTCTGTGATACCATGGAACAGTCAGTGTCCAGAGATATTAAGTAGGAACGTGCAGTGCAGCTGATGATCATAGTCTAAATGCTGGTGATAATAAAAAAAAAAAAAAAAAGCACTTCTAGTACTCAGTTTGAAATCCTCTTTTGTCATGCTTATAATGGCGTTGCATAGTGATGAGAGTTTGTACAAAAAGTAAAATGTTTGGATAATATAAATTATGCAGTGCTCCAGTAATGAGCAAGATTGAAGTAACCTGAGAAGAGAGGATCTACAGAGGAACTATGAAAGAACTAAGAAGAAATAAATGCGAATTTGGTTAAAGTAGAGTTGGTGTTAAAGCCTAAATGTTCACTACAATAACTGCTGATTGACAACATCTTTAAACTGAACATGTGGACGTGCCATATAGTGATGTTGGAGAGCTGGTTTTAGATTATTTGTCCATCTGAATTAGAAAGCAAAGGCAATGAAAGAGGGTTGGAATTCTGTTGCCTTCTCCGTTCTTTGGGTGTCCATAGCACCCAAAATTTGCTGTGATTTCTTTTTGTTTTCTGGAACTTTGTTATCTTTCAGTGTAATATTACTACTTTCGTAAAATACTATGACAAGAATGAGTCATGTACTTTACTCACAAACCTAAGAAGTGCCTGCAATATGAACAAATCAGCTTTCTGTAGAAAAGGTAGCCTGTTTAATTTTTTGAAAGTTTGTTTCTTAAAGCCATAATGACAGAGGTGTGTTTTTGTCATGTTTAGCTGCTAGTTACTTGCAAAGATGGAGTAAAAGATGGAAGTGACTAGACAGACTTGTTGACCAAAACTCAGATTCTCTTTTTTTTAATAAGTGTTCTAAAGCTAATCGCTAATTTTTTTCTATACACACTTGCCTTTTGGCATRCTCAGTTATTTTTAAACTGTTTTGTGGTAACATTTAAAATAAAGATAAATGCACACCTTTGAAATCATTATTGCATTTATGGGGATTTTAATTGTACTTTGTGATTTATTTTTCCTTACCAACCAAAAGGGTAATGCACTGGGTTATGTGCTCATATGAACAAACACATTGTGCTCATATGAACATATTGTGTACTTTGGTCTTTATTGTTACATTACTGTTGGTGATCTTAAGACTTTGTTTTTAAAAAATTGAATGTAGCCTGCAAAAACATACTCTATAACTTGATCCACTCTACCTGTTGGTGGTATTGACTGTCTCAAACTCATGGAGTTGCTTTTCTTTTGAGCTGAAGAGGTCAGAAGATACTTGACTGTTCTAATGTGATTTTTTTTAAGTATTAGACCAAATTTGTTGCTTCATTATATTGTAAATATGTATAGGATCTGTATTTCTTATGCACCTAATTAATTTCCTTCTTGGAAGTTTTGGCCTGTACAGTGTTTATAAGATGAAAACTCCTTACATGTAACAAGGAAATATGTATATTAATCTAGTTGTGGACTTGATTTTTTTTTWAAATGTAAAATCTGTTTATATTCTGCAATGGCAGATATCTAGACACTTGCTGTTTAGCAGTATGTTTAAGTGCTCAAGTATTTTTTTAAGCATTTTAATGCTGAAGAAATTTTYTTCCAGCAAGACAAACTGATCAGTAGTGAGTAATACAGGTAGATTCAAGTAAAGCAAATGAAGTTTGCATTTATATGCTTTTTTCGCATCTAAACTAATGAAGTCAACATTGCCTGGATGTCTAAATAATGAAAATACATCCTTGTTTAAGTGTAAGTGAAGAAAAAAAAATAAAGGTAGTTTTTCTAACTTGCCTTTCCCCCCCCTTTTCCTACAGCTGTTATTTTGAGAATTGCTGAAATATATTTATCTCTTTAGATGCCAGGAACGGAATGCATGTTACTCAAAACAGCACTTCAGCATTGCAATTATGGAAATTTTTGAGTTAACTGATGTTATTGTGTATGTTTTAGCACATCTAATGATGACAATAGGGAGGAGACTTTCAAACAAATGTTAATAACGAGAAAATCTCCTCCAGGTAGCCATAGATTAAAATCTGCCCTTGATATAGTTCTGTGATTCCTAAAATAAAAACSATTGTAGATGCATTGACATATGTAATAAATATAACTTATTTTCTCAGGGTAGGTGAAAGCAAAGGTTTTAGTTAACTCCTCTGTTAACAAACACACTACCAAGATTAATATTCTTAACTGTAGAGCGTTTCCTGTGATAAAAGCAGGGCATATAAAATGTTTATAAGCAAAATTGTTTGCTAGTTAGGATTTCTAGAGCTTCTGTCAAAAATGTTTTCATTTGCTTGCACCCCTCACAGGCTTAGAATAGTGAGCTGTGGTACAGTGAGAGGCATCTGTGACAATGGCAATGGGAAGCTAGAGCTATTTAAAGTATTACACTGGGATCAGTTATTAGTCCTATTTAATATCTGTATCTAGATAAATTGATGAGCTAATACAAAATGAAATTCCRGGTTCATATTCTTACACTGTTGTTCAGACAGCCAGAGTGCTGACTTGACACAGGATAGCTAAAGCTTTGACGAGAAGAGTCTTAAATGAAGACAGGCCTGCTTGGAGTTGATCTTGAGTTTCCTTATGGACTAAAGTTATATTCAGCATCAGCTGTGTATATGCCATCTGCAATCCACCTTATAGCCTGGTGCTGAAAAACTCTAAATTAGACTTGTTTGCAGCCTGAGTGTCCAGTGAGAAAGAGAATTTGGAGGGAAAGTTCCTCTGAAGTCTTGGCCGACTGTCAAGTAGCTACATATATGTTACTCAGAATTTCATAAATCTCTTTACATGGACTGAAATCACAAGTATAATATACATAATATAAATTTGCTGGGGCAAGCCTAAACCTTGCCTTCTGAATATGAGAAATTTGATGTGATGCTCAAAATCAGTGCTCTTATATTTTTTAAATTCAGAAACTGTATTCTGTAACTTGATTGTGCTACACTCTTTTATAGAATAGTTGCAAAGTTTTTTCTTTTTTCCCCCTCCCAGCAAGATGAAGTAATCGTCTGTGGTTTTCTCAGAAATAATTGCGAGTTTCAGGAAAAACTAGGCCTATGTGTGAATGACCAACGTGGGGTATTTCGTCAGTGTCTTAGTATTGCCTCTGAGGTTTGTATTGTAAAGAACCTAACATGTAGTACCTAAAAATCAGTTGCTATTTATACACGTTATGTCACACATTAGATTCTTATGTCTTTGATTTCATAAAGGTGATTCCTTCATTTCTTTTTACTATTCCCACAGCACAGAAGCACATGTTTTCGATATTATCCTTTCCCTTCGCATCTCTCAAGGCTACGTTTTCTGTCTTCTATCACTAGGAGTAAATAACACTTGAAACAAAATTGCAGTTTGTAGTGAAAATGACTGCATCTTGGAGGCAAATGTCATATTTTAGATGGAGTGGTGTTTTTGAACTTCAGACCTGTAAAGGAGCAAATGCCTCTTGACAGATTTATGGTGATTGCCTCTCAAAAGTGTGTGTGCTTATCACTTAATCTTTAACCATTTTTCCTCTTACATTTCGTCCTTGGGTAGAGTGTTGACAAATGTGCATGTATTTAAACTGAAAGAAAACAATTTAAACTACTTGATGCGAGATTTGCATAATCATTTTGATGCAGTGATACCTCTCCTGATGACCATGACCTCATATCTACCTCTTTTCCTGGTGAGTGGAGACATGCAAGAAAATATCCCTTACATACAAGGCTTTCGTTCATTTCTCCTTTCCTCATCTGCTTCTCTCTTTTCATGAAGAGATCCCATCTGGAGCCTTTAGTGCTTTGGGGCAGACTGGATATTTCTCTGCATGGACACAGAAGTCCTTTTCACGGCATGGGAACTGAGTGTGTTGAACAGGGACAAGGGGGAACTAATTGATTTGAGAGCAAAGTTGGATTATGCTGCTTTAAAGAATGTGTCCAGAAATAATGGAATTGCCTTCCAAGTTAAGCAAGTGACTGAGAAAGTACATGTGTATCAGAAAATTGAGGTGCTTCTGTATTTGATGAAGTCTCCATGGACCAACACAAAAATCCTGTCATCTGTAATTCTGGTGCGCAATTTTTTTTTTTTAAACTTGCTATGTTTATTTCTTCTCCTTTCCCATCTCCACCCCAGTTTTGGACACAATAGCTTGCATTCCAAACATCAATGGTTCAACTTTAAAGTGGCTAAACATATTCAGGCTGCTTTGGATTAGGCTACTTTGGGGTGGAGGTGGAGGTTGGGTGGAAGTAGAAGGAATAAATTTGACCTCTCAGCCTCAGGTAATCCTAAAACCAGCTGCCTTAGGTTAATGTTTAGCACCAAGAGAAAGACAAAGGGGAAATTATTGGTTACTGCCATTTGTGAGGTGATTCATTTTGGAGTCCAACTCTCAGTCATGTAGTTGGATATTTTTGTTCTCAGGCATTGCAGCAGATAATTTGAGTGCTTAAACAGGTGCTGCAGCTCCTGCCTCACAYATTTACAGCTCTATAAATGCTCAAGCTGAGGAGGAAGGATGGCATGAATGTTTACAGAAGATTAATGACAGGTAGTTTGCTTTGCCTTCTCTTTCCTAGCTGCTTGAACAGGTAGCTTTTCTGTTGTTGCAGTTTGGTGTTAAGTGAAAGATTGGTCTGTGATTGTTGTATGCTGTGCTTGATCTGTTTGTACAGATCACTAGTTGTTATATCAGCCAAGTTTTAAATGCAAGCAAGCTCTCAAACACAAAATATGCTGTTTCGAGCTTATCTTTTTTGAATGCTAAGTAATGTTTCTTSTTGTGTCAAATATATGAATATAAAAAATAATTAAAGAGAATGGGGGATATTTAAAACTGCCAGAGGTGAAACACTGAGTCTAAATGAGTCAGAACATTGATAGCAACTGTGATTCAAAGAACAGTTGTGATAGGTTACAGACACTTCTTAAAACTGTATTTGGACACTGTCCAAATTTGGCTACTAATTAGAGCAGGTTATTTTTAGCAGTAATTTGGATCTATTGAGGCTCTTGAAAGAAAAAGAAAAAAGCTATTTAGTCATTGTCCTACAGTACCAAAACAGACTTAATAATGGGTGATGTCACAGTAGTCAGATATCTGGTTACTTTGCTTCCTTCAGATAAATTATTCATTAGTGTGTTCAATGTACAGCAGTTCCTATTCTGCAGCCAAGTTTATTTTTGTTTAAGAAAGCTATTGATAAAAAATACACATTTAAATCTTTAAAAGTGTTAAAATTGGCATGTAAACTTTATTTCTGTTGGCACGTTCAAGTATTCATAGTAACTTCTTACATTGCAATATTTTATTCCAAAGCGCTTTTTTTTTTTTTTTTTTATGCAAAAAGGAGAAACAAACATCTATAGCCTGGGTCATGTGTTACAGCACTYGCAAAACTGGCAAGATCTTCCAGATAAAATATTTGTGAGATAATTTCAGGACAGGAACTTTTTGACTGACTAGTCATGTCAACTTTTTGACAAACTAGTCATTTCAAAACATGTCTGTAGATAGCTACACACGAATTACTTTAGTGGTTATCTGGCTGAATAGATAGATCGCAATTCCAGTCCATGTATTGAATCCAGTTCATCTTCTTGAATCTAAACAATGCCTGTAATATGGGATCTGTAGATACACTTGTTGGGACAAAGATTTTTCTCATGCATTTTTCTCTCTTATGAACTTCAGTTTGCATTTTTCCAAAAGTTAATGCCTATTTCCTTTCAGTTTTTGCATGGCCCAAGGATTCCATCTGCACTTAAAAAAGCTGAGCTCTGCTTTTCTATCAAGCAGAAATATGGTAATTTGCAGAGACATATCATTCATTTTTAGTTATTTATTTTAGAGAGAATTGTGACAACAGGTATTTCCTACTTTGTATCCTTTATGGATACTATCCAAAATATTAACAGATATATTACCACTTACAACTTCAAGCTGAATATATGATTTATACCTTTAAGAAAGTGATTTCATGACCAATATGTTGGCTTCTGCAATGATCTACTTAAATATCCAGAAAACTTTGCATGTAAAGAATATGGTACTGTGATGACAGCTTACGGTTACTGATTGGTAAGTAACTTTTCTGATTTTCCCTGAAGTCATAATAAGGACTTTTAGCCTACGCAGTAATAATTTAAGGTTTTTGCAGCCTTTCTTTATCTTAAGCAGGTCTAGGAGGCCACAAAGCAGATGGATTCGGTCATGGAGTTTGAGACCTACAAGAAATTGTAAATAGGTAGTGGTCTTCTGCAAGTTAGCACTACTGTTGTAACATTAATAACACTAAATACTTGTATTTATAGGGGAAAAAAAGTTTCAATGTGTCTTCGTTGTTGTTAGTCTTYAGAAAGCAAGAAAGCAAGATGTAGTCATTATTAAAAACAGT